CCAAGAACTAACCAAGGCCACAGGCCCGATGATCAGCCCAAGCGCCAGGCCGACTGATCCTCCCTTAAAATTAAACTAATACGACCTGTCCCAACATAATAGCAGGCGTCCGGCGGCATCCCTCCGGATGAAATTCGTCGCAGAGAGCAGCTCCCTTTTGGGTGGAACATTGCTCTATAAACTAAGTACACGACACCTAGACGACTGTCCCCAAGGACAACCACGTAGCCGTTTTTGAGACAAGGATAACTCTATCACTAACCAAACCAGTGGTAGCAGTTGACATCTGAGTCGGATGACCCCCTGTATTACTTGGGATAAATGCAGGGGGTACCTCTTGAGTTAATAGCCAACAAACATTGGCGAATCAAAAGGTTCAGCCGGCCTCCGCCGCCTAATACCTTTACTACTCAAGCAGGAGTGACGGCGACTGAGTAACACCAAAGTTAACTCATAGTCACTCTCTCAAACTTAGTATGGAGCCTAAAAGGTATGAGTCGTCTGCCTGTTTTTAGCAAACAGGGGCTCTCAACCACTACTCTTGCTAGGTTAACAACCTTTGAGTTAATAGCCAAGAAAAACTTGGCGAATCAAGGGGACTATCCGGCCCCCGCCGCCTGGTTTCCCTACCACTCAAACAAAATAGGCAGTGATTGACTAACCGCAAGGTTAACCAGTCGCCCTCCTTAGTACGGAACCTAAAAGGTATGAGGAGTCCGCCTGTTTTTTGGTAAACAGAGGTACTCGACCACTATTCTTACTAGGTTGGCTATACTTAAAGATGTCGTCTGTAACCCAGCAGGCGTAGCTACTTTGGTTGGACGTCCTGTCTAACGCCTGCTTCTATGCAGCCACCAAAGCAGACGACCAGCCATCCCCCAACGAAATAAACTAAGTACCAAACTTAGTATATTTAATCAAAAGAGGCCAATGGCCGAATAATGCTAAACGCTTACCCCTTATGCAATAGTTGACAGTCCACCTGATCAGGGGCTATCTGCATAGTGGGGCAAAGAATCGACATCTGTCTAGTTCGGCGGCAATCATTATTATGATTGATTAACTTTGAAAATGTCATACCGCCCAAGGTATCAAAATTTTCTAAGTTAATCAAGTCCATCTCCCATTAGAACTAGACAAGATGCTGACCTAGCAAAGCTTCGAGGGTCTAACTTTCGAAAGGAGCAATCCCTCCTGGAAAGAGAAATTACTCCTTCCGAGGGGCAAATGTTTAGGGTAAAAATTACCCATGACAAATGGACCAATCCGGACCTGCCACGTGTCCACCACGTGGGCCAATCAGCGTCCGCCACTTGTCACCCTATGAGGTCCAACATGGACTAATCAGGCCACGCCACGTGGCCACCCATATGCCAAATAGGCAAAATGGCCACCAAGGCCCAAAGTCCGAGAGAAGCCCAATTTGCCCTGGTTAACCTAAACCTAGGATTGACACGCTTCTCAAGACTATAAATACTTAATTAATCCTCATTAAAGGGGATGCAGAAATTAATGACTCTCACCTAGAGAAAACCAAAACACATTGATCACTCCTCCCCTAGAGGAACCAGATCTCCTACCTTTACTTTCCGCATTTATCACTCCTCAAACAAGTACTAACTTGATCGTCGGAGGCGGAGCTCCTACCACAAGGAGTCTCCGTTTGTTTTGCAGGTACAGGCGTCCGGTTCCAGTCTCGGAATTGTAACTCTCCCGTAGGACATCAGAAAACCCCGAAACAGTATGTATTTAATTTGTATGTCTTCTTTTATTGTATGCATTTCTAATCATATACATATATAAGTACATGTCTTACTTATATAACCTTTGAGATGTGCAAATATGTATATAAATATTTTACAATAGGTCATATACCCTATATTATAAGTATAGGTTGTAAAATCGTGCAAATATAACTAAAGGTACATAATAAAAGTAGTTTTTGTTATGCTCACCTTATTTTCTTTGGACGAGATAAAAGATTAAAAATTGTAAGGGTTTCATTCTTTTTATCTTATTTCTTAGGATAAATACATATAGGATAATACAAGGGCTAATAAATTTATAAAAGAATATAAAATAAGCACTAATAAATTTTCATATAAAAACTAATCAATTCAAATAAGCTAATGATTAATAAGATAAGATAAGTGCAATTTATGTGAAGAAAACACTAATGTAGTCTATGGCTTAATAAGATAAGATAAGTGCAATTTTCATAATAATAATAATAATAATAATAATAATAATAATAATAATAATAATAATAATAATAAATCTATATTTACAATTAGCATGATGATTGATGATGAATTGATGAGGGTTGAGTACATACACCTAACCTAACCTAATTCACTAATGATCTCATCTTCTATGCATGAAGCAATCTATAACCATCATCGACGTGGAACAATCACAGTGGATAATATAGCATCATCAATAATTTAAGGATATTTAATTTTTTTCCTCTCCATCTTATCTTGACAGATGTAACAAGAAATTCCTGCCACTTTCAGTAAAATGGGCCAATCAACTCTTCTCGTTACTATTGGATAGTTGATACATATTTATGATTTGTAAATTAGGAGTTTGGATGTTGTTATTTGAACTATCTTGTTCACCAACTCAACTGCTAATAATTAATTTGGGGCTGAAATAATCTAGAATTAGCTACTTGGGTCACTCTTTCATTAGCCAAAAAACATAGTCGGACAAAGTATAAGATTTCGGGTGTTTTGAATAGAATACATCCTTACATTAAGTATATAAACTTAAATGAACTTACCTTTTAATTTTGTTTGTTCATTACATTTAATTCTTTTTTAAATTTAAAATAATACAGTATTCCATAAGAAAAAAAATGTTCTAATTTCTAAGGGTGTGTTCTACTTCTATTCCTTTATTTTTACTTCTCTGAACTTATCTTATTACATCTTATCCGAACTTAAATGAACTTATTTTATATGCTTTGAGTCGTTGACTACTATATTATATATAGCTTAGACAATGCTTCGAGTTATTACTTCAAATACATGCTCATAACACGGAGACATGGAGTATTATTTTGTAATATTTACATATAAAATAGGCCGGCAAATTCATGTTTTATGTAGTCTTGGTTTAGTTGGTTCTTATTCCTGCATTTATATTATTCATGCTTTTTAATTTGGATTTGTTTACGTCATGTTAGTTTTTTGTAGTAGGAGTCAATTCTAAACTAGTGTAGTATACATGTATATTTTATTGACTGATCTGAACATTTATGACATTAATGTTCATTGAAAATAGTAGGATTGAGTCATGAACCAATCAAATGTTTGAGAATGCAACACACGTGAAAATCCATGCAATATGCAGCCTTGACATGCCAAATATTTAGGAGGAATACCTTCAAATTAAATTTTAATTAACAAGGAGTACTTAATCAGCTGCATGGTATGTTTAAAAAAATAAATAAAAAATTCAGCTGCATGGTGCACGTTAGTAGGACTAAGCACGTGTGCGGTGCGCCACATAAACAAAATTACTCGTATTATATATCTTAATAATGAATTAATTATAATTAATCGATACATTTATATCATAATCATAATAGTAGTATAATTTGTAAAATATATTAGCCGTTGATTTAGGGGAGTGTTTATTGAGCTCCCACGAGATGTGGAGCCTCACCAAAAAAAAAAAAAACTTCATAAAGCATGTGAATAGGACAAACTAAGGGTCATGTACTCATGTATTATTTGTATACTCAATGTAAGCCCCCCGTGAGCCACGTAGAACTCTGGTTTAGCGAATACGAGGTGTTACTTCAATTATTTGGGTCATGGATCGAGTTCAGGTCAAATTGGGTGAAGTCACGTTAAATAATTTATTCTTATAAAATTAAATTTTAGGTTGAGTTATACCGAATTATTTTAGATTAGGACAGTTTTTAACATCTATAACTAAGTAGGAAATTAGTATGTAAAGTTTCTTAGAACTAAGGATATCGATTAACTTGGTGACATACTGACATATAAGGTCGGGAATAGAATCATTGTGTAACAATATTGTACTTTGCAATTTTCTACTCCATATATGCTTAGCTTGGTCTAGTGATAGGAAGTTTTACTTAATGACTAGACGAAATTTCTAAGTTTAAGTTCCACTAATTAATCAATCAAAGCCTTAATCCTATAAGTGGGGTCGGTTACATGAACCAAATTTGAATATTTTGTGTAATCATCAACAAAGATCCTCCTCTATCGCTTACAATCCAATGCCTCGTCCTCATGCAAATCCATATACCATATCCTTCCTAACTCCTTCCAACCAAGTTATTTTCGATTTCTCTCTCCCTCGTTTAACCCTTCTATGGTCCCACTCTTCCACTGTTCATACCAGTGCACCCTCGGGTCTCCGTCTTACATGCCCAAACCAACGCAGACGATTTCCCCTTAGTTTGTCTGCAATGCCTGCCATACCTATTTTCTTGCAAATAACCTCTTTTTTTTATCCTTGTTAGAAAATAATTTCTCACCTGTGATACAAAGTATTTAACTTCATGCTTCTTATTGAGAGAACCCAATATTCAGTGCTCTAATCACAAAGAGAAATGCCAAAATCAAGTAAAGTTTATCTCCTTTTCCTCTTACACCGTTTGAAAATGATGTACATGCTTGACCCATAACCACTCGGTGTGCTTGTCGTGCCATGCCGGGCTTGTGCTGGCCACTGGGCCAAATCATTTTCATGTTATACCTAAGTAATCCTTATGACACCCGAGCCAATGCCCATCTATAAACCTGTAATTCATTATATAAAGTCACATGCATGTATATAGATCTAGTTAATCATTAAGTAATTATACTTTCTCACCAACAAAGTCACAATCCAAACTTAATCCTCTTTAAAGTGAGTAATAGAGTATTAGCAATTAAGTATGAAATTAATAAAATACACGAAACTATAATATTATCATGGGATTCATTTTATTTGATATGTTGCATTGTATTCCATTCGACCCATTTGAGAGAAAACGGGCCTACCATAACATCACCGCACATGGTGTACTGGATTATCTCTTCTTGTCCTTTTCTCTCTCTTTCTTCCTCACTTCACACCACACTCAATTCTACTCGACTCGCTCACTCGTTCTTCACTCAACTCAGTTACTTCTACACTTCACTCAACCCTTCAAACTGAAAACGACTGCAAAAATACTCCCAATTTTCATTTCTCTTTCTCTCTCCTCTTTGTCCTTTTTTCCCTCTTTCAATTTCTATCATTTTCTTCTTCTGGTCGGATTGATGGAAACCCAAGATCACAAAAAGCCTAAACAATCAGGTTTGTTTTCTGGGTCATTTAATTTGTTTTTTTTTTTCTTTTTCTGGGTTGTTAATTAAATCTATCCTTTTGTGTTCTTTTCCTGCTGTAAAATGTGATGTTTTGTACAGATTTTTTTGTGGGTTTTGTGTTTGGAATTTTCTGGTTTTAAATAGTTAATGAATTTTGGAATTATTGAGTATGGTTATGTTGATTAATTGGTATACTGTGGATAAATTTCGTTTTTGTGTGTTGCCTGCCAAGTGTTTGATGAAATGCCTAAATGAAAATAAAATAAAAACTGATTTTGTTATTGTTGATTTGATGTTTGGTCAAAAGGGTATGAAGGGCATAGTGGAGGAGTTCATGTTTGTACTAAATGTGGATGGCCGTTTCCAAAACCACACCCCAGTGCTAAGCACAGGAGGGCTCATAAGAAGGTTTGTGGAACTGTTGAAGGCTATAGGCTGGATAATGATGCACAAGACAAGACCCATTTGATGGATGGTTCTGATGGTGAACATGCTTCTGATGATGAACACAAAACCCCAAGTAATAATCGATTTTATTTCGCGTTAATTGCTTGATATATGTTGTATGAATGATGGTTTTGAAGTGGGTTTTTGATTGAATATTTGGTAGGTGGTAAAGTTGTGGAGACTACTATAAACAGGAGGACTAGCAGTGGAGTTGGTAATAGATCAAGTAGGTCGACCAGATCAGAAGATGAAGTGTTTACTGATGCTGTCACAGAATTTGCTGACACTCCAAGTCCTGGAGAGGCCTCTGATGGTGGTATACATCGGTTTTATTCGATGCAACGTGTAACTCAGAATGATTTGGATGATATTAAGCATGCTGTAGAGAAGGCCGATGCTGGTGAGATCATTTCTTCTATTGTTACCATGTTTTATCCAGCTTTGCTCAGTGTGTAGCTATTAAAGTAGCTGAATGTTTATCTTAAGCATTAGCTGGTGATTGTGCATAAGAATTATTATTTTGTTTATTTGATTCAAGTTAACTTGTTTGTGCTGTAAGTTTGTATAGGTGTTTGTGTCAGTAGCTTAGGATTGAAGTAGTCCCGAGGATGTGTAGCTACATGTTTTATGTTGTTGCTTAGAAGTTAGAATCTTTTAATGCCATCCGAGCTTATTAACTTCAGAAGTTAAGAAATATAGGAAGTCAGATAGGTTTAAATTGAATGAGGTAAGTCAAGTTACCTCACCGTGAGGAAATTGTTTGTGCAATGTGGGTCCATCATCAAGCACTGAAATTTGAAGTCGAAAATTAAACAGAAATTGATTCGCTTTGTGACTGTTTGATTCAAAGTAGGAATCAATTAAACTACTAATTTTTGCTAATAATATGCAAGTATATATTTTTCCTGTATAAGTTGCTGTTATGAGCAAAACATAGTAGCCATTGGGTCTTACATCAGATTTAAAATAAAAAAATCTTAATTTTTTCTTTCCACTGCAGGCTGGTGGCTTTGTTTTTGCTTCATGTGTGTGTGTGTTATACTGTTATCTGCTACTATGTCCGTTCTTTCAATTGACTGTGAGGGGGCTAGGATTAGGAAGCCTACTTTGCTGTGCTATATCTGCCTTGCACTCTTGCATTTTTGTCAGTGACATAAAGGCGAAAATACATTATGTTGGCTGTGGTAAGCTTTACGTTAACAAACAGCTAGTGTTACAGTTTGTCTGCACATGGAATACATGCCAAACCAAAATACAAGAATTTATAAAATGTATGTTAGCGTTGATATATTCTCTTCTAGCTGAAATTTTATTTAATTATTTATGCGGGAGGTCGAAAATGGCTTTATCATCTCCCATAATTGTTTATTATGTTTTTGGTTGCATAAGAGATTATAGTGAATCACATGTGACGTTTTCGAGAAGTTTTCTAATGTGTTTTCTGGTAGCAGATGAGGATTTTTGGTATTAAAATAATTTCAATCCGTACAATTTCTATTAACGTAATTTCATTGGATATAAAAAAGTCCCAGACCTTGATTTATTTTTTGATATTCTGATTGAGATCACATAAGTTTAGTGATATGCACTAAGTGCTAGATGTGTAGAGATTACCAGTACATTCTTTTTATCTTGGTCTGTTGTGAACTGATTGTTTGAGGCTGGTTGTTTTCCTTCAGTTCTCAAAATTAATAGTGTGTGTGTGTTCTTGCCTTTGAAATATTATCGCTTATCACGTTTTCAAATGCAGATAATTTACGAGCCCCCAGCACACATCTCAATGACAATCAGGATCAAGTTCAACCTGCTCAGAATTTGGAAGGTGAAAATGATAGATTAGAAGCAGAAGCTGGTATTCTATCTCAGGATCATATGCCCAGTTTCACCTCTGGTCCAGCTCCGGCCTCAGCTTCAATTACAGTAGAAAATAAGAATGAAGATGAGGCAGCTGATGAAACAACTGAGGAAGCATCAGAATATGTTTCTGTTTTGAGAGATATGGATAAAGGAATTCTAGGTCCTGTCTCCAATGGTGAATTAGCAAAATCGGCAGTGATGAAAATTATTGGTTCTGAAAACAATGTTAAATGCTCTCAGGCAGCAGGGCAACCAGTTGAAGTTATTGATCCTGCAAGTGGAAGCTCAGCCAAGCTAAGTGACGTGACAGTGGATCATGGCCTAAAATCTGGAGCCAATGCAGATGTCTATGTTCTAGCTGCTCCTGATGCTTTACTTCCGCATAAGCATCCTGATAGAGCAGTCGAAGATTTAGACCACGAAACAAGTGAAAGTAAGAAAGTCTATTCTGAAGATAATGTCCTTAAAAGTGTTGGTGTCATGGAGGGTAAACTTAACCAGGACGTTGGGCAGATATCAATAGCTGAGCAAAACCCTGTTGGTGAGCCAGTTCATTTACCTGATGTTGAGGCTTCTGAAGGTGACATAAGTAATTTTAGTTGTGAAGTAGTTTCTGACTTGAAGACTGAAAATTTGGGAGAAAAAATTAGCTGTGCTGAAGAGCAGAAACCCATTATTGCATTGAATAATGTCTTTCCTGAAGAGCAGAAACCCACTGTTGCCTTGAATAACATCTTTCCTGAAGAGCAGAAGCCTATTTTTGCTGCTGATAATCCAGAGTTCACCTCAAATGGAGCTTTCAACACAAGTAATGGTGTTAAAACTAATGCTGAGCATGTGGTTTTACAAGAAATCATTGACAATGAAGTGTCAAGGAGTCTATTATTGGCTTCTGATGTTGACACAACTGAATTCAGGAATGAAGTAGTTTCTGACTTCAAGACTGAAAATTTGGAAGAAAAAAGTTTTAGTTGTGCTGAAGAGCAGAAACCCATTGTGGCACTGAATAATGTATTTCCTGAAGAGCAGAAACCCATTGTTGCACTGAATAATGTGATTCTTGAAGAGCTGAAACCCTCTGTTGCTGCTGATAATCAAGAGTTCACCTCAAATGAAGCTTCCAACGGTGTTAAAAGTACCACAGAGCATGTGGTTTCACAAGAAATTGGCGACAGTGATGTGTCAGGGAGTTTATTATTGGCTGAACATGCTATCAATGACATTTTACCCCAATCTAAAGAGCTAAGCAATATCCATGGTAACTCTGATACAGGTAATAATGAAAACGTTGGAGCTGTACGAACTCATTTGGATGGAAGTGAGATAAGGTATGGAGGCGAGGGTAATGAGGCTGTTAATGCTGAAACTGCACCTAGTGGCTCAATCATAGCTGGATCTCATGATGGCATTCATGAGACATTTGAGGTAAATAGATTTCATGACCATATTAAATCAGATACGACGGCGGATTCTGGGGATTTGATGGCAGGTCATACACTGCCCATGGTGGAGAGCACTGTTGGTAGTGCAGGAGGAGCAGAGTTTATAGGTGAAGATAGTCTAGGTGCTATTTCGAAAACTGACAATGTTCCTGGTTCAATATCAAAGATGATATCAACTGAGTCCTCAGTTGTTTGTGACAATGCTCAACATTCTTTGAAAAGCTCTGCTACTGTTGATGACACCTGCACGGAAAAGTCTGCAGAGGAGGCTGATGATGTGTTTGAAGGGGATAGGATTGTTAAGCCCCATATTGCTATTTCAGGAGCTGATATTCTCCCAGATTCTAGTAGCCAAACTGACAGTCTGGAAGGCAACTGGGGATCTGTTTCAGGTACTTTTTTTATTTCTAATTTTTTTGTAAGATATCTTTGCCCACACAGTCATATCTGTTGTAACAGATTCAGATGCATTACTCTTGTATATATGCTCTCTTTCTTATCTCTCTCCTTCAGAGGTTTCCTTCTTTACGCATTCTCACTACAGCCATCCGGAAACCAAATCTTTAAATACTTTCTGTAGTTAATATCTACATTTTCCACAAAGATTTAGGAGAGTGAATAAGTAGATAGATTTAAGTGGGTGGGTTTGAGGCCCAACTTTAGAGAAGAGTTGGGAGGAGAAAACATGCAAAATGGAATTATAACTCTAGTGAGACACCCATAAACTCATAAAGAAGCTTTAAAATTGTTTTAGGGATGGAGTAGGTTTCTCTTTGTGATCATGCCTTTTTAATCAAATGTATGAGATTGATCAGTCATGGTTTCTTTGCTTGAAGTTTTGATGCCTCTAATAAGTCATTTAAGAATCGTGTGGTTTCACCTGGGAATTAACTTCTGCCTGCTTGTTTTTGGTTGATGCAGTTATGTCTGCAGTATCAGACACCCCACCTGCAAATGACACTCCTGCATTGAACCAATCCCAGGTATCTGCCTCAAAAGATAATGGGAGCTTGGAGCTGAAACCTATGATGGAAAGTCAACACCCTGAGAGTAAACTGTCAGTTGATCCTGTGGTTGGAGCGATCGAAGGTGTATCTGAGATCCAGACATTAGAGGAGCAGAAAGAGAAGGGCTCTGCCTTACAAACTTCCTGGTCGACCTCCATTGCTCATTTGGATAATGCACCGCATGGAGGAAAAAGAAATGAGGAAATTATTGCCAAGGTAACTAACTGGAGCACCGAAAAGCAACATCTGCCTTTGAAAACCCTTTTGGGAGAAGCCACTGCCCGAAGTAGAGCAGAATCACCAATTCACACGCAGATGAAACCCCAAACTGATGAAACTCCAGTAGCAAATAATGATGTTTCAAAGACAGAAAATGTGATTCTTAGTTCCAACAACCCCATTCCAGAGGCGTCAAAGATAGAGATGGGAAAGGAATGGAATTCTCCAGCAAGGTATCCGGTGAATATCAAGACAGAGAAGAGGAAGGGCAAGAACAAACCATACTGGGCACCATTTCTTTGTTGTTCATCTGTCAATGCTAGGTAGGATAGCTGTTCAAGGTAACGGAACGACTTGAAACACATTTGAGGAGCAATTTTCTTCGAGAAGTGGAGTGCTTGTTTAATATGCACATGTTTAGGGTTTGTAAAAGATATGTCTATATGTTGGATTTTTAAGCCTAATACTCTTGGCGATCTTATTATACTATGAAGTATTTAGTTCAGATTATTACTCCGTAGTATTTAGTTCAGATTATTGTTGCATAGTGAAGATTTGTGAGCAGAATAATTATTGTTTTTGCTGTGAAAAGGAACTAGAGCCCTATTTTAGTGTATTTTCAGCAGATTTTTTCTAAATGCCTTTTTTGTAGGCTGTTACCTTTTTTTTGAGGAACATTAGGCTATTAACTGTGTTGATACAAATCAATCATATAAAGTGCAAATAATTTAGGCATTTGAAGATGTTGCAGATGGAGTAAATTGTAGGGGTGGACCAGTGGACTAAGTAATGCTTTATACTAAAACAGATGATATTTGCTTTTAGCCTATGGGACACCCATTACCAGTAGGCAATCTTTGCTTTATACTAAAACAGATGATATTTGCTTTTAGCCTATGGGACACCCAAATCAATCAGAATGAACGTAAAATATAATTCTTCCTCCGTTTTTTTTTTAAATGTAACACAATCTTCTTGAACATTTTTAGGAGTTGATAAGAGTAGGTAAACAAGTGATTTTATCAAAATAATTGAGCACTAAGAATCACATGTACTAGTATAAAGAGACTATAAAAACGACTCTCAATACCTTACTTCATACAATTACAAAATACAAGTAGTTGAGATGAGCGGTACTACTTTGCCATTATGTTAACTAAGTGGTAATTTCATAATTGTTTTAACCATATTAAACTTCGTAATTATTAATCAGAAATCACACTTTGTATTATTAACCCAAAAATTATAATTCTTATACATTTTTAAAAGTTCAAATAAACTTTTATGAATAATGTGTGGACATTTATATACCTTTAAAAATGTTTGTTTACGTATTTGTCTTCATTGATGTTAATTGTCTTTTTTTTTTGAACTCTTATAAAGAGTGTGGGGACATTTATATCCTAAAAATATTTGTTTATATATTTTCCCTTATTAATATTAATTTTCAATAAGTCAATAACTAAATTTGTGACATAAGCTTCCCCGGACATGGCTAGTTGTGACTTGCACTTTACACTCATTAGCTGCCGTAGTAGTCACCACAATAATTTAACCATCTAATAAATCCTTACATATTACCTTAATTATTAATCCAAAACCATAACTAATAATACCGGATAACCCAAATATATACTCCCTTCGTTTTTTTATTTGCCCGAATTGAATACCCTTGTTAAACCTAAAACCTGGCCCATCCCAGCTAGAGTAGGAGTATTTGACTCGAAAAATTATCCCAAGTTTGAGCCGACTTAACCCTATGATGAAGTCTATATTAAGACATACGGTTAACACAAACAGAAAAACTACAAATTATCCCAATTTCTTATGTTGTTACCATGGATTTTCGATTTTGAGATATTTCACCACCACCAGTATGAAAAATATAGAGAAATTACGGCAAATGGCAAAATCGAAGGACGACAATGTTTCGCCTTCGATCCAATCCAACGCCTATGCAACTCTTCCGGAACATCTTATAATAGCTAATATTCTACCAAGATTTCCTGTAAAAACCTTAATCCGTTTCAAATCTGTTTCCAAGTTTTGGTTTTCTACAATCTCTACTCCCGAATTTGCAAAAACACATTTCAGTCTATCTTCGGAACAATTTATGTTACTTACCAAGTACCCCGAAAATAATTATGATTCATCTTCATACAAGCTCATGTTGTTGCCCTATGACGAGTTTAGCAATCTTAAAAAAAACTTTATCGAGATGGATCTCACTATCGATATATGTATTCGACAAAAACTAAAACCGAAACATAGTTTTGTTTCGATGGTTGGCTCGTGTAATGGCCTGCTTTGCTTGTTTTGCTGTAATGGTTCGACTCAAAATAATAATAATGATTATGGTTTCTTCGGTATCTGCAATCCTGCGACAAATCAGTATCGTGAGATTACTAATCCAACTTCATCAAGGAGTACTTATATGCTTCTTGCACCTTTTATAATCGATGAAAATAATCATTGGTTTGGTTATATACCGTCGATTGATGACTATAAGATTGTCGTTCTATCGTTGGATGAATCCTGCATTTATGTATTTTCATTGACTACGGGTAATTGGAAACAAATTTGTGCTGCTAATGTTTTTTCTTGTGGTCCGGCAATCAAATTCTTGCAAAGATGCCGCTGTTTGATAACGCATTGTACTGGTCTTTTCTACTTGTTCATAGACACGACTGGGGTAAAATAACGAAGAACAAGCTCGTTGTTAGGTTCGATTTAGTAAATGAACAATTCGAAAACCTCCCATGGATGGAGTGGCTTAGTCAATATACTCGTTTTACGTTTTTTGTGATGAATGGGTGCCTATCATTATTATGCTTCTCATTCTCACAAACATTATCACTTTTGAACGTTTGGACACTGAAACGAGGCAATGAATGGAGTTCTTGGGAGAAATCGTACTCTGTCGATTTGTCATGTGGTTATTATATATCTAGGCGTTATTCCCACCGGCAAGTTTGTAGCATTGAATACTTGTGATCGCGAAATAACGATGATTGGCCCGACTCAAGCTAATCTAGAACAATCTTCATTATTAAAAACTTCAAATTTGTCCGTATTGCATACAGGAGGTTACGTTGAGAGTCTCATTTCGTTTTTTGGAACAATCAAGTCCTACAAGGAGGAAGACCGCGAGGTTTAATTTGATCAAGTCATTATAATTTAGCATTTTTCTCTTCAATAGGTTAAGTTTTAAGGAAGATACTTATAAGTTATAATGTGTTAATTAAGTCTAATGATATTGGTTTAGTTTCGAATGTAATAAAGATTTTAAAAGATAGATTTATAAAGGAGAATATATGATTGTCTTCACATATTAGCAGGGGGTGGTTTTGAGTATGTGCAATTGTGCTAGGTGGTCAATCATACAGGGTTCTTAAGTTAAAACCCCAAAAAATAATATTTGTTACTTCGTAATACAAAATAAAGATAAAATTTGTTGATCAAATGATTTAAATTTTTAATTTTATCATAAGATTGATAATTTAGTAAAGTATTATTGTTAATAAAACTCATATTTATTCTTGTAAAAATTTATTATAGGCTCAATTTTACAAAATTACACAACCTGATATATAATTCACAAACTATTGGGTGCGGACGTCTCCACCCAATAGTTCCTGCGGGCAGCCTATATTCCCTTCAAAAACAATTGAAACTTAACCATTCATTTCAATTAACAAAGAAAACTGAGATTTTAGGGCTCACAATTCACATAATAACATCATAATGCTTGAATCAGCCAACCAAATCGAAGAAAATGATTTATTTTCTGATTGAATCGAAGATGACGATGACAATGACGAAGACGAAGACGAAGGTGAAGCGGTTATGCGATTTGTGGTTGGCGGTGATGCGATTTGCGGCTGGTGAATGGTGATTTGCGATCTGCGGCTAGTGGCTGGTGGCTGGTGATTTGCAATCTGCGGCTGGTGGCTGGTGATTTGCGATCTGCGACTGGTGGTTGGCGATTTGCGATTTACGATCTGCGGCTGTTGTGGTGGTTGCTGTTGGCAGGAGATGGTGGTTAAGATGCGGCTGGTGGGTTGCGAAGTAGGGTAGTGGAAGATTGGTGGCGAGTGCGGCTGGTGGAGGATCGATTGGTGGTGCGATGCTCGGTTTGGGTGGCTAAAATTGGTGCGTGTAGGGCTCCTAGGTGGTGAGACAGGGGCATGGATTGGTGATTGAGTGAGGGAGTGTTGGTGCGGTGGTTGTTCTGTTTGGGTTGGTGGCGTGGAAGATGGGAGCAAGGGAGTTGGCTGGTGGTGATGGTGTGGATTGGTGGCGAGAAGATTAAGGGGCTGCAGGGGGTTGTGCGTGAGTTGGTGGGTGTTTGATTTTGAGCATTTTGGGTTGCATTGGCTGATACATTTGAAAGAGATAGAAAGAAAGAGAGGAAGAGGGGGAAAGAGGAGAGAGAAGAAAATAAAATATTGTATGTTGTTAATTAGCTAATAAATAACGCATATCACCCAATTGATGTCTGATATCAGTCAATATTAGAGACATATCAAACATTAATAAAAAAAACACGTATCAACCAACAAAAAAAATATATCAGTCAACAAAAGATACATATCAGCCAACAAGAGTAGTATAACAAAAGGTACTTATCAGCCACATAAAGAACATATCAAGCAACAAAGGATGTATATCAGCCAACAAAAGGATGAAATCAACAAACAAAAGCAACAAGTAAGCCAACAAAATAAACATATCAGCCAACAAAATGAAACATATAAGCCAACAATTAAAATATACATATCATCCAACAAAATAAATATATCAACCAACTAAAGAAACATATAAGCCAAATGATGTCTGATATCAGCTAACAAAAGGAACCTATATATATATATATCAGCCAACAAAAAGGATATATTAGCCAACACAAAAATCATATTAGCTAACAAATGAAACATATCAGCTAACACATGAAACATATCAGCCAACAAGTAAAACATATCAGCCAAGTCAGCCGCACGGAAATTTGCGTGCGGACATCCACACAAAATAGCTTCTCTATATAATTTTAGGGTTGAGTTTACCTAGACCTCTTTCCCTCGCTTGCTTCACGAATTTTTTTTTTTGAACAAAATCGATTCATTAATAAAAAGTCATACGCAACTAAATTAAAAGGTCAATTAAAATTACCTAATTCTCACATCATTGGTGAAATTGGAGGGTAATGCTTATGGGAAGTGTTTGATGAACGACAATGTTTCGTCATCGAACCAAATTTCCGCAACTTCGGGTGAGAATTCTGTTACCCCCCTCCCCCCCTAACTCTAGGGGATTCTTGCCCACTAACTTGGCCCAACGAGGTCCTGATTCGATACAACACCTTTTAACATCATGAAATTGAAAAGAATGAAAATATTATGGGTGGGAAGTCACATGATATCATGATATCTAAAATTTCCTATTTTAAAATATTAATTTTAAGGAAATTGTATCCTAAATAATATGACAATAATAGGAGTGAATAAATACGTGTAAATATCCAAAATTTTCTATTTTAAAATACCAGTTTAAATATATGACAATACTAAAAGTGGGTAGACCGTGCCACCATGATATCCAACATTAGTTGAAATATGTGATGATATTTTAAAAAAAATTGAAAATGCTATGAGTGGGGAACACATGGTATCAAGATATCTAAGGTTTTTTTTTTTTTTTTTTTTTGAAAAAAGAAACAAAAATTACTAGGGTTGGGTAGACATATGGGACCAAACAATAACAACAACAACAGAGCCTTAGTTCCAAAATGATTTGGATCCCAGAATATCTAAAATTCGATGGAAGTCAGTGTGATGCACGGTTTTTTCATCTAAGATTTTAATTATTTGATTTATTATATTTAATAATTTCAGACAAAATTAAAAAAATTTAATATTTAATTTTTTTTACAATAATTTATAATGAATTTATTAAATATAAATAAATTGTAAATATGATATTTTTTCCGTTATTTAAAATCTTTAATTTGAAATGATAAATTTTTAATAATTTAAATCCTAAATCATTATTCATTGTTTTACCATATCTTTTATTTCGATAGAATTACCAACCTCGTCCACAACCAACCTACTACATCAATGGATAAATTGAACCGTGAAATGTTAGCCAAACTGAAACTGATGTAAATTAAATCTCTACATTTATATAAAATAAATCAATATATTTACCAATAAATGAAAAATTGTTGCGTTATAAAATCAAATCTATGCATTGAAATTTTTTCATCATCTCGAAAAATAACCAATGTCATCCATATATTAAGTATACAACACCTAATCGTATGCCATTACATAAACAAATAATCGTTAAGTATCCTGGATAAATACAATGCAACTAATAATTACAAATATAAATTTAAACATAAGATTTTGAAAATTATCCGGACATTGATGACCTAAAAATAACACAAAATTACTAACACAAAATTCGCTTGATGAGGTTTTGTATTGATACGAATTTTTATTTGTGTTGTATGATGTGTTAGATTTGCATGTAAAAAAACATTTAGTAAATAAAACAAAAACATATAATCGTTAAGTATCCTAAATTAATACAATGTAAGTAATAATTAGAAATACTAATTTAAACATAGGATTTTAAAAATTAAGTTAAAAATTACTCGGCCATTGATGACCAAAAATTAACACAAAATTACTAACACAAAATTCGCTTGATGGGGTTTTTTATTGATACGAAATTTTGTTTGTGTCATATGATGTGTCAATTTATAATGGTAGGTATCACAAATTTTAATTTAATTATAATTAACGAACAATTTGTATTTCTTATCATAAATACTATCAAAATTTATCTTTAATGATTGGTATCAGACTTTATTATAAGCGTTTATCATTTAATATTTCTTAGTATATTTTTTTTTTGGATTCTATATACTCGTAGTATTGAATTAATAAATATATTTTTTCCTATATTTTTACTTTATTTTTTTCATTAAAATAATTTAATTCTTGGATTATAATCTATGTGGCGTTAAAATTTTAGATATATCAAATCTAATTCGTTACTTTTATCTAGGTGCCGACATAATTTTTTAATTCAAAAATAAAATACAAATCTTTCTTCTTATTGATCGAAATAAGTATATTTCTTACGTGGCGCTCCGAATACTCTCCAAAAATACCTACTTTATATATATATATATATATATATATATATATATATATATATATATATATATATATATATATATATATATTAGATTTATCTTACTTACTTATAGTCCTTATTATACTAGCTCATACAAGTTCATGTTATTGCCATTCGATGAGTCTAGCAATCTGAAAAGCCCTATCGAGATGAATTTTACTCTCGATATACACTTTCGACAACAACTACAATCGGAAGAGGGTCGAGTGGTGGATATTGTGGGTTCTTGTAATGGCCTCGTTTGCTTATCTTATCTCTGTTATACAACAATAATACTTTGTTATCAATTCCTATTTCTTTGTAATCCTGCAACACATCAATATCATTACTAATCCTGCACCAACAGTTTTTGATTAATGGTTTGGCTATATACCGTCTATTGATGACTATAAGATTTTTGCCGCTTCAACAACTAGTTTGGACTTTTATGTGTACTCCTTGAGCACTGGGAAATGGAACGTGCTAAGTTATACTGATACATGTATTCGTTATTTCAAGCCGGTAGTAGTGCCACTACCGACAGTGGTTGATGATATTTTGTACTGGTCTGTCGAGGTGAGCCGTAATAGGAAGACGAGGCACATCGTTGGATTTGATATAGTTGATGAAAGATTTAAAGAATTTCCATGGATGGATTGGCTAATTCGATATAGTAAGGCTTCTTTTTTGGAGATGAATGGGTGCCTGTCGCTACTTTGCTACTCATCATCGAGACCATAATCTGATGTATGGACATTGAAACAAGGCAATGAATGGAGTTCTTGGGAGAAATTGTTTTCATTCGATATTGGAGATAAGCGTTTGCTATACATTACTTCCAATAACAAGTTTTTAGTACGGAATTATTTGAAATCACATATTTCCGGAATCACATTAATTGATCCAAGTCGAGATACTCTACAACAATCCTCAATAGATAGTTCACCTTTCGAGAGTCTCGTTTCACCTTTCGGAACAATCAAGTCCACCAAAGAGGAAGACAACGAGGTTTGATATAACGATATAAGTCGTCTTATAACCATTTAGGTGTTTTTCATTTCTGTGGGTTAAGTGAGGAAGTGTAGTTTCTAGTATTGGTACTTTTTCCATCAAATCAACTCATAATTTCATGTCCACTTGAATTTTAATCGTGTTACTTATTTGTCAAAGCCTTTGCTTAGATATAACCTGAACAATGTTACAATGGTTGCACAGAATCAGGTTGCTTAATTAACAAACCATGGTAATGACAACCCCTCTAAGTTACGATTTTCATGATTCCATCCCTGCTTTTACTATGTGGTCATAGATAATTTAGTTACTCTTTTCATGATATTATGTGGTTCTCCATGAATTAACTGGTTAAACCGCCTTCTTCAAACAGCTGAATGAGGAACTAATAACCAATAGTGTGCTTATATTAATATATGTATTTATATAAATAGAAATGGAATTCTTACATTCATGCATTAATTCAGTTCTGTAATATGCAAAAACAACAGATCGAACTATTTACAGTGCTCAAACAGTATTAATAAATCTTAAACTTGAACAGGCTTAAGTTCAGCATGCGTCCTCAAACCTCCTATCTTCCGCGAGCCTGGAAAACAACTCCATTTCTTCCATTAATCTATTAGCCTTGGCATGATATCCGCCAAAATTAACATCCAATTGTGTTTCCAACGACATTGATTGGAGTAGAACCTCACAAATTTCTCCCAAGTCGCTCGACATTGTCACAACCTTCCTTCCTTGCTCTCCCGTGCAATCACCGTCTTTACTTCCCATGCGTATGCAGCTCTTACATGCCTGAAATTCATAATGTAGAATATAAATGGTTTTGCGTCATTCTCCTCATTGCATTTTGGTTAGTTCTTAAGACTATACATCACAGAAAGTTTGAATGTACATAACCTAGTTTGGAATTTAATGTATTAACACGGTAGTATACAACCAACAATCTTATTAGTCGTATAATGCTGCTATTTCATTGGTAAAAATCTCTTAGTAAACGACTACAAGTACATCATAATACAGAGTAAATTAGAGTACAGTTGACTAATATCCGATTTTGTTAATTCTTTTTCACTATCTTTGATCAAACAAAAATGGGCATGGATCAGGTATTATCTAGTACAAAATATAATGAATGGGCCGAACAGTTCATGGCAAAAATCATATGACAATTTGAGACGAGATTTACCTGAAGCAAATTATCCAGTTTATCAATTTGATCAGGCTTCAGATAAGCTGACAGCAGCAGCTGTTGAAATAAGAGAACCACCTCAACACTAGTGTTATTAGGAGAGAGGTTCTCGATTAAGCTAGATACACAGGCTTCATCGAACACAGAATTCATCCATGAAGGAACAGATTTTGATCTTAGAAGAGCAGTAGCAATGTGCACTGCAGGCCGGTGATGATTCATCAATGAAGTAGATACTGAAGATGGCGCAGCCAAAGATCTGGCTAGCTCTTCCACAATCATCCTGCACCAGCTGTTGTTTCTATTTAAGCTTGTATGATAGGCACTGGGTACTTCCCAGCTGAAGATCATTGATAAACAGAGGCTAGAGTTCAGGGCAATTCGAAGATCACAGTGAAAAATAAGGCCTTCTAATACCGCAACTATGGACCTTAAATACCCCTTGCCGCATTTCAATCCATTCTGTTGATTTGTGATCCCACTCAACAACTCGAACAGGCAATGTGAGGCAATTAATTTGACCAGGGATGAACCGAAATGCAGGAACCTGCATACATCCTGGCAAGAAATTCCAACTGCAGGAAATGCACATGTCCCTTCTGGTAAATTGAAGAAATTTTGCCAGTCCACGCTTCCTGGTAGAACAACTTGCAAACTAAAGCACAAAAGAGTTATAAATCTGAAGAAACAATCAACATGTTGCTCAATAAAACATTGCTTACCTTTTTAGGTAAAAATAGAGAAATAACAGTAGAAAAACTAATGTGCGCTCGGTGTCTGATTCCTCTTCTTGCTCAATTGAAGCAGATCCATTCGCCAAGAGTCCATCAACTGTGGCTCGCATTAGGGAGGCTAAAGGAGAATTCAGAAGTATAAACCTTGCAGTTTCTATGAGCACGCCCTGAGTGGAATGATGCAAAACCAATGAAAGGACACCAAGTACTAATAGATGCTCTTCTGTCCATCCATTAGCCCTCATGGTGGAAGTAAACGAATCAAACAGCTGCTTGGAGAGAGACGTAAAAGAAAAAAAAAAAAAAGTAAGAAAGATTCATGGATGAAACTAGGTCTCAATGCTTTACACAAAGACTTACCTACCTTTATCACCACTGCAAGCCAAGCTTCATCATCATAGAGTGTTTGAGATTGCACGGAACATAAGATGAAGAAGATAAAACGTGAAACGATCATGTAGTTCTCCAGTGACGAAGAGCATAACAAATCTGAACAGAGATTTTGAACTGCACTGCCCATCCCATGCATGCAGAGCTGATCTGCAGCATGCGGAAAAATGGTGATAATTGATGATATGAAATGAAGTAATGATATTACATCCTCTAGCAACATATCTTTTCCAACAAGCTGTTTCAGCAAAAGGACCAACAGTTTTGGTAAAAGGTTGTCTCCTAGAGAGGCTAAACATGCTATATTACGGAAATTAAGAATCCCACAGTTCACTAGCGTGTCATTTGAGAAACTATTTCGAGAGAGTTTGAGGATTTGGCAAGACAAGGACTTGCTGAATTTCTCCTGTTGAAACAACCATTTTAATGAGGATGGGTGAATGTCGAAAGATGATAAATCCCAATCTCGCTCCTCCAAGAGCTCGAAGTAAATCTTTTCTGCATCAGAACTGTAACAAATCTGGTAGTTCTTTTTGGCAAAGCTTCTACACAGAGCATAAAGATTCAACAAATAGACTACCACAATCGAGTCAACAGCTCCGAAAAGCAAGTGGCTGCTGTTGGCAAGCATATATTGCTCCAGAGAAGTCAAAACTAGCTTCTTGTCAGCAAGCCTGAGAAAGATGGGAAAAATCTAAAGGTTAAGATGGAAAACTTGAAGGACATTAATAAGTCAAGAAAATATAAAGCAGGGTTAGATTCTTGCATTTCGTCGTATAAAGAGCTGATATGCAGTATTTGTAATACAGCAGTCTGGCAAGATGACAGATCTAAGTTGTGCTTCTGCCCCAGAAGAAACAGAAGATCAACAGGATCTGTTGGCAAAGCAGATGCAACAGTTCTGATGGATTTGCCAGAATCATCGCCAAGAATATTATCCACAATAGTACTTAGCATCAGATACACTGTCAATTTCATCTTTTCTGTAGGATGCAGACCTAAACATCTGAAAGACAAGCTGAACCATGAGAGTGAAAGTAGAGCATGAGTGCGTTGCAAGGCCTGATTATTATGAGCTTGTAACAGTATGAAGTGCAGGGTCTCCAATATTCCCAACACACTCTCCTCTTCCAAACCATTGATTTCTGTCATAAACCAAGGTACTATATGATTTTTACATACTTCTATAATTGAATTTCTCGGTTGCATCTCTGTACTGTTACATATGGAGCTGATTTCGTGACAAAATGAGTATGTTTCTTTTAACAGAGATAAAGAATGCAGAAGTTGGTAGCCGTTTAAGTCATTTGTGCTCAATGAGGCCAGAATTGCATGTCTTGATGCTTGTAGGACTGTAGTCATCAAATTTGAAGCTCCACTAGCTGAAGGAGATTTCACAAGAGCGACAAAAATGGAACAGATGTTAATGAATGTTTCAGGAAGCATACCCATCTCACCAGCAGAGTATCTCTTTAGTATTTGTGTCAAGGAACAACTTATTTCTTCAACAAGTTTGGAAGATACTACTCCAGGGTAACTTGAGATGCCAACCAATATGAGCTTTAGCATCTGAGGTTGAACAGGATGAAAAGGTATTTCAGCTACCTGAGGCAGAACAGAGACCAAAGTAGAGAAGCCAAGGAAAAGCCTCTGCCTGAAGATATGTTCAGCTGCTGATAAGATATCAAGAGCTTGAACGCAAGAGCTTACTATCTGGTCCTTGTACTCTGCGCAAGTAGAAGTCGTAATTTAAGCATACAGTTAGGTAGCTTATGAAATGCATCCAACAGAAAATCTATACCCACAACTACATTAATTGCTAATAACCACAGTATAATTTGAATAAGAATAGCAAGATGTTTGACAAAACATTGCACAAAGCATCACTGATGATATAAAATAGTAAATACTACATGTAACATGATGTCCCAAGCATACTCTTGATGTTTGATTGCAGTAAATTTTTGTTTAGGCATAGCTTGAGGGGCAGTGAAAACTAAAAGTACCACAAGCAAACTGTTACCTGATAGCCTTAGTATTTCAAATATGTAGTCTGCAAGATTCTCTTCCACCAAGACTTGAATTTGCTTGAGTGAACAGTTCCCACATGATAAACAATGTACTATGAGGTCCAGTGTAGAAATTTGAACTTCACTATCAGGAGAGAGCAATGGAGACTTAATAGCCTCAGCAAACAATCTACTTAAAGAAGAACCATTAGGTTGATCATCGGAGGATTGCGTATAGTTATCAGCTTCACAGGTATCCATCACGTTGAAGTCACTTGAAAAGGCATTTGAGAGGAATCCTCTTTGACCCAACACCTTCAGAACAGCTACACAAGTAAATCAGTCATTACTTAACTAAGAGTCTGAAATGAAATGCAAATACAAAGAGCTTCTTGCAGCGCTTCTCTTCCATGTGATGCAAGGATGTTACAACCTTAAGACAAAACGTAAATCCCGTCTCATCCAAATTTATTAATCTACTCCAAATGAACACCTAGCTTAGCTTGCAGATTCAATTTGATCCTTAACAAGAGATGACAGTCATGACACATCCTCATGCAAGCTGCTCAAGAGATTTTACCAAGCAAAGAATTCTAGCTAATAATGCACTAATAGAGTTTTCCAAGTTATACCTTGCTTTTATAACTTTCACTCAAGCTCAAGTACTAGTGTAATATCTGACCAGCTGAAAACTATAACCCAATTGACATTACTATACATTAGACTGATCTTACTGAGGCTTAATTCCTTCGTGCCCAGAGAAAATAAAAGATTGGAATCCAAAATTTAAGATCCTCTACTAATATAAACCATAAAGGCAACTTATGATATTGTCTTGCAGCTTGGTTCTGCAGGTGTTGCAGAATGATCCAAACTAGAAAGCTATATACAGGCAGTTGTGAGATATAAGGGACAAACCTAAACAGTTTAGGCGAACATCATCTCTTTGAGTCTTCATAAGTGCATCCAAAGATAATTGTAAGATCATGGGGCTATACTCAAGCAATATATCAGCACCTTCCTCATCTTCACTGGAATACTGGAGGATACATATCCTGTATAGAACAAACATGATCTCCCCTCGAATTTCTTCACTGCATTTGTGATGGCATAGCAATGACAAAGTGAAAAGATAGTCATCTGTACTCAATAAATAAACTGCTCTGTGTTTGCTCTGGCTGATACCTTGGCAATTGAAGACCCATCACAAGATTGTTGATCAGACCAGTTTTATCTTTGATACAGGCATAAGTATCCATTTGACGTGTCAAAAGAACTCCCAGACAATGTAGCTACATTTATGTTGGACAGGGGAAAAAAAAAAAAAAATAGTGAGTTTAACTCCAAATCACTGAGGTGCCAAAGGGGGTGGGGGGGGGGGGGGGGGAGGTGGGGTGACAGCAAGGAAAGGCAAAAACCTTTTATTTTATGATAGAAGGCTAAATATGACTAATTTGTGTTTACTTAATGCTTGTAGTTTACTTGATATTATATGCTGCAAATGCACTAATAGAAAACTATATGAGTAAATGGGAAGAAGTTTGGAGCAGTTAAGCATAATTTCACTCAATAAGCTGACTACTTTATGATCACTGTTGTGACATAATGCATGTTTTATTCATCATAGGCTTAAATCCAATCACTTCACAAATGACCAAACAAATGGATACACAATACATGTACTCATTTTAGGCTTATAGCTCAAATGAGTCAAATCTAACTACAGCTAAAACAAAGATGGTAGGCTTAAATCTAGAAGAAAGGCTTAAATCTAACTACATAGGCTAAAATGTATTCATCATAGGCTTAAATCTCACTACACCTAAAACAAAGATGGGTATTCATCATAGGATTAAATCTAACTACATAGGCTTAAATCTAACTACACCTAAAACAAAGATGGGTAAAGGAAAAGTAGAGAGAATACTTCAACACTCAAAATCAATCCGTATATTAGTATGTAGCTAATTAACCAATAAAGTAACAGTATAACCACATTGTAGAAAAGAAAAATCTATTTCACACTCATTCTAGGCACAATATTATACACTTATACACCCATCCATATATGCTGTTGCGATTACTGCCTATACATTCACATTTCTATTTGCATACTTTCTACGGGTTTTTCAAATAATAGAATGCATCAATGATTTTTACAGATAATGGTAACCAGAATGCTAAGCTAGCTATAAGCATATATCTCACCAAAATTATATCCAAATGTCATATTCGATTCAGAAGTGAATTTATAATGTTCTTACCAATAACTCCATCTTTACTGATTACAACATGCCTATCGATTTCAATACTATGGTCTCCACCCTCCGCACCTCTCATTTCAAAACTCGAAAAGTTGTAAAATCAAGTCTCCAGAAATTCACACCAGATCTCTGACATAGCTTCAGCAACCAATTTACCAAACATTGACATCAAACAACCTATCCATTCATCAAAATTGAGCACAACCTAAGAGAGAAACCACCAATTCTCATTTGCAATCTCCATTTAAATACAAATTTACACAAGTTCATTAATCTCCAAAAGAAATTATGGAAAAAAAAAAAAAAAAATTCATTGAAACCTAAAATTACATTTTTCACTTAAATTCACCACTCAATTTTCACAAAATAAACTTCATATGAAATCACACAATTTCATCAATCTCCAAAAATGTGATCACATCTAGACCTAAAATTACATTATCACTCAGATTCACCCCTCAATTTCACAAAATATAACATCAAAAATCAACTTAGGTTATCACACATTTTCACCAATCTCCAATAAAAATAAATCACATCAAAACCTAAAATTACATTACACAAATCACCACTCAATTTCTACAAAACAAAACTCCAGAAATCAAACAATTTCATCAATCTCCAAAAAAAATATCACATCAAAACCTAACACTACATTTCACCACTCAATTCAATTTCCACCAAAAATCATCTCATAAAACCACAAAAATCCAAACCTAATTGATCAAAATTCATCACAAACAGAAAAACAACTCACCGAGTAAACCTGACGACGACTCCAAGCAAGTTCACCAGACGACAAAACAGCAGCAACACTCGCAACAAAATCACCAGCAACCGAAGAACCGCCATAATCAGAAATCTCAGAAACAACATCAATAACTTGCCGAGCAATCTGTTCATCATCGATAGAGGAGAGAGAATGAACAAGAGGAGAGAGAATGAGGTGAGTATGAAACGAGAGAAGAGGAGAGAGAAAGGAAGGTTGAGAAACGGCATGAGAGAGCTGAGAGAGAGCGTAGGAGACATGGAAGGTAGGAGAATTAGGGTTTGAGATTAGGTTTGTGAAACAGAGTAAGCAAATTGAACCTCCTTCTTCGGTTGGAAGGATGAGCGAAGATCGATGACCTTGACTGCATGATTGGGGTGATGATGAAGATGGTGGTGATTTTGGATGATTCGATTGCATTGGAATCGGAATTGGAACCAGAACCGAAGATGTCGAGTATTGTTGTTCGAAGTAGGTGTACATTTTTCTGGGTTTGGTGATCATCAAGATGGAGAAATGAGAGAGGAGCAAATTTTGAATTTGGGGGGTTATGGCGCCAAAGGAAGGAGGTGAGAAATGGTATTTATAGAAGAGCCGAGTGCTGTCATTTTCTTTTTTTGCGCGCGCGTGTATGTGATTTACGGTATGACTCGCGGATTATGCACAACATCTAAGGCTGAGCAAAACTACCCGAAAATTCATTTCATAACCGTTCATAAAAATAAGCGTACCCGATTTGATAATCTAAACGGTTTAGGTACCCGTTTCAATGAGTATGGTTATTAGGTACCATTTTAAAATTAACGGTTACCCGATCCGATCCAATAAGCAATTTTTTTGTTTTTATTCCTCCTTAAATCTATTTTTCTAAAATCTAAACTCTTATTTTACTTCATAATCACTTTATAATATCAATAATTAGTAATATTTTATTACTCAGTAATAATTTGGTCAAGATCATGTGGTATTGTTGTTAATTAATGTTAAATAATATCATAATAACTACATTATTAAGTTAAATTATCATTATTGGATATCTTATTGGTACCCGATAACCGATCCGAAAATCTGGATACCCGAACTTATCGGTTCGGTTTAAAGATATCACTTTTAGTGATATTGGTTATCGGTTAACCTAACTGTTAGTACTAACGGTACGGGTACCCGTTCCATGCACACCCCTCAGCACCCGCCCTAATTGAAATGGATATGAGTGTAAATTTGATGGATAATGATTAATGAGTGAGTATGGATATAAAAAAGTCATACTTCGTATTCGTCGAATAGGTGGTGAATTTGAAATCACGCTCGACTTATATCTACCGCCCATTCAATATCCACTTGTTCGCCAAATCCCAACATTTTATATACACCTATTATATAATTTTATTGATATATAAAGTTGCTGGTCATAGGTGGTAATAAGTGGGTATAGGCAGGTAATATGTGAATTAGTGGGTAGTAGATATCTACTTGGGTGGTGGAGCAGATATGGATTCCACAGTGGGTAGTGGGTATAGAAATTTCAGGTGGATATAGGTATGGGGGAGGGGGTATCCACAATTGCACCACACCGCCCGTTTGTTATCCCTAAATTCCCTAATTTTCACTTACTTATGATAAGTCGATGATGAATGAAGGATTGGCCTAATGATTAAGAACTTTACAGAGTTAAATCTCTTCTGTATTTATAGTGCAAAAACTATTTATTACACACATATGATCACACTTATATATTGTTCATTTTCTAAATCAAAAAAGTTGTTTTCGTATAATGCAGTATGTAATGCTTTTTGTATATTCTAACATCAATTGGTTATTATCACTACAAGCTAAGGCAAACCTAACAAACTCTAACATTAGCTCGTCTTGATTTGATTTAATTTTATTAAATTCGAACTAGAGAATGAACTCATCTTAATCCTAAAACTTTGTTTGATATTGGCTTGATAGGAATAATTTGGGTTTGATCAAGCTAAACCTAAACTAGACTAAATACATCATGTTTCAACATATGGAATAAAAAATTCATGTTGTTACTTGGCTTTGTAATGTTATATGACTAGGGCAATTTGTGTGGAAAAGTTTATCCTATCTTTGTCATTCAATTAATAAGCTCATATAATATCATTTTTCATAAATTAATAAGCTCACAAGTTAGGCAAATAAATGTTCCTCAAAAAAAAAAAAACGAAAAAAAAAAGAAGAAAAGGCAAATGTAACTTAAGCTTGAACATGGCTCATTAACAACTGAACAAGGTCGGATCAAACTTTCCAAACCACCAGAATGTAATCCTTCTTTCCAGCAGCACTCTCGGTTGGAACCATGCAATAGATCGACTCACAGTAACAACCCCATATAGCGGCTGACTCGTGACAAACTTGGAGAGGATCAGGGTTGAATTCTACTCAAAAAGAAAAATCACCAAAGAGCAAGTTGAAATAAGAAACATATTGATTATTGCTTGCATGACAATCATTAGCAATAAATTATATGATACTATTATTATTAGCATATTGGTAGGGCTACAAACAACGAAACTTGGCGTTAAAATAGCATTACTACTCACTTGAGCAACAAGAGAACTAGCAAACCAGAAAAAGCAATCACAGCAAGAAGACGCATATTTATCAGTAATTGAAGTCAGTTACCAAGTAGGAAAGGGGCAAAGAGATCAGGACAGTAGTCAGGGAAAGGGAGATGTTTGTTTATGTCCAATGTAGATGGTTTCACAACTGCGTAACCATGTTCATAAATAATTCAAGCGAGTTTTGCTTACAAAATTCAGAAAGGAAAAAAAAAATCAAATACTCAAATTCATACAAAGCCAAAATGAAATTGATGGATTATATAATTACTTCGTTGTTATTATCATAAACCGACCACTACAACAGCAGCAGTCTATTACAGAATTGTCAACTACTCAACAACAGCAGCAACAGCAACAAAAAGTGCTAATTCCCAGCAAAAAAATTGACTAATGGGAAAATCACATGATAAAACCTAATACAAGAAAGATTTAAACCACAACACGCACACACCAACACAAGATAGCAGCTCCGATCAAACTTCACGGTCCTCCTCATCAAATGACATGATTATTCCAAAGGGGGAAATGAGACTCTCAACATATCCTACCGCATTTGAAATAGTTCTTTTACCAGCACATGAGCAAGTATGGCTTTGCCTTTGTTTTTCGGTATCTAGACTTACATCAACTATCTTGACCCGGTTCAGTGTTTGGAGCTCAAAACATTTCTCCACTAAAAACTTGCCTGTGGGGGTGACATGACAACCAAACGTGCACGGAAGATGGAAAGAACCCACTTTCTCCCACGAGTTCCAGCCATCAAATTGTTTCAATGTCCAAACTTCAGTCATCCGATCAATTAAGCTGTGATGCATTCTATTGATAAGCACCCATTCCTCAAGAAAAACATCGTACTAACGTACTGTTGTAACCAATCCATCCAAGGGAATACTTTCACCTGCTCACTAACAAAATCATACCCTACAATGCGCTTAGGCGTCGCATATCCCGGAAACCCAACAGACCAATACAGAATATCATTGACCACTTTTGTGTCCAGGCATAACCATTCATGGCGAGTAAAATAATCATCAAGGTCACATATTCTTTTCCAATTCCCAGTCTTAAATGAAAACACATAAAAGTATAAAGAAGGTTCATGCTGAACTCTTAATCTAGACAATCGAAATAGCACGACTATCCTGTAGACATCAATAGATGGTACATAACCAAACCAAGAAGTTCTAGAGCAGTTATCAGGACTAGGATACATAATTTCACGGTATGAATGCAGAGCAGGATTGCAGATAAAGAAGAAACATAAATTCCTACATTCAAAGCAAACCAACCCATTACCAGAACCCTTAAAGCTAACCTTATTTTTAGATATTTTTTGTTGAAAAGATGAATCAAAAAAGTTTCCAATTCAATACGGTTTTTCAGACTGTCAGATTCTTCATCATCATATGGCAATAACATGAATCTTAATGGGTTTTTAAAGATTACCAGAATTTGATTGGGGGAGAATTTGAGATGGGATTTTGCGAATTCAGGAGTAGAAATTGTGGAAAGCCAGAACTAAGAAACAGATTTGAAACGGATTAGGGTTTTTACCGGCAATCTTGGCAGAATGAGGTCGATTATGAGATCATCGGGAATAGTTAGGGTTTCCGCCGAAACATAACTGATGTTGATGATCCTGCAATTCACATTAGCAATAGAATCAGGATCATTCTCTTCCCTCAATTTCACCATTATTCAGACTTTCAGACCAATACTCTAGTTGTGACCAACTGGTATTTCAGACGAGAGATGAAAGCGGAAAAATAGAGGGAATGTAGTGTTTAGGAATAGTGCAAGAGGTTAAAGTGGGACATATTTATTAAGAAATGGAGATGTTTAGAATCACTTTGTGTTATTAAGTAACACGCAAACACTTATTAGGCATGCCGATGCAAATATTTGATTGTTGATATCTTTAATTGCGTATTAGTAAAAAATGATATTATGAAATTATACCTCTAACTAATCCAACAATATATACGAACGAAGTATAACAATATTTCATATAAAAAAAAATTAATATTTAATAACAGGAAATTTTACAAGAAATCCAAAGTGCCACGTGTCACACTTAAAGACCTTTTTTTATCTTATTTCTTTGGGGGTTCACTTGTTTTCTCCTACATAATCTTGATTTTCTTCCACCTTTATGCCCTTCAAATTACTCATATAATATTTTCCTTTCAATTACATTTAGTTTTTCTTCCAATATCATGTCTCTTCACCTCAAAATAATTTCATGCCCCTTCACCCTAAATATAAAAAGATTTTAAAATTTCAAATTTCCAAATTTATGCTTTATACAGCTTCAATTTTCAAACATTAATTTTTTATCAAAATTAATGAAATACAAGTAGTTTATAAGGCATATATAATCAAATATAATGTAAAAGTCACTTTAAATACAAAAAGAAAAACCGAGCATCATGGATTAAAACTAGTTATTATATTTAGGTAAAAAGATTCAGTCAAACTCAATATCTTTATCATATAAATGACGGGAAGGACTTTGGCGTCCACCTAAAATTGAAATGGAAACTAATCATTGACAAATCAACCACAATTGGCAAGGTAAAAATTGGCACTAATTATTAAAATAATTGACATCAATTAAAAAATTTAAATTATGAAGGTACAATCAAGGAATAACAAATCATGGAACTTTTACAATTAAGAAAATTCTATTAAAAATTATAATTACGGAATCAATTCCACTTTGTGAATAGATGTAAATAATTACAGCTAAATTTATGAGTAATATTTCCTCCGTTTTTTTTTGTTGACACGTTTTTTTAGTCACGTTTGCCAATACACAACTTCAACTATTAATATCTTTAATTACCGATAAACAAGGATTATGAAAAATTGATATTTTGAAAATATATATCGTGACAAATCTAACAAGGTTCCACGGGACTATATTTTTCATTGCGTATAAAGCATAAATCACGGTCAAAGAGGAGTGAGTAAATATGCTAAATTCAAAACGTGTCAACTAAAAAAAAACGGAGAACGTTCAATTTTCTCCTCCTTATTCTTACAAGTGCACGAATATCATAATCAAGGTATATTTGTGTGTGTTGATTTTAGAACTAGGAATTCGTATGTCGTTACAAAAATATGTTCCAGTGCATGAAATACTTTAAATTTGTTATCAATCATATTAATGTCATTGTAATTCGTGTGGGGTGATTTCTAAAAGTTTACTATTTTAATATAATTATGTTATTTTAGTTTTTTATTTTTTTCTCAATATTCCACTTTTTTCATACGTGCATCACAAATGTGTCTTTGGTACACCCAAAAAATTACAATAAGCCACGCATATATGACTAGTGTGAAAATGCAAAAAGTCAATGAGTCACTTAATAAAGCAGAGGGTATAGATAAACAAAAGTTGTTTTAACTTAATTTTTTTGTGTCATTTTTTTTAAAAAAATGCTTTGGATTATGTATATAATCCTCTTTAGACTTGTTTAAAGCTTGGATCATGCAATTTCAATCTTTTTTATTCCCACATAATCACTATATTTGATTATATTAATTTATTATGACCAAAATATATAACGAGTTAGTAACATCTTCACCATAAGACTAGTTGTAGGTTGCCCAATGTGTTTACTTGCATGGATGAGCAAGAATGAGCAAACAGAGAATGTTCTTTTGCATCACTATACAAATTTGCTCATTTTGTGCAAGTAAAAAAAAAATGAAGCGAAATTAGCAAAACTAATTTGTTCAAATTCGCTAGTGAGCAAAATTAATTTGCTCATTTTGTAAATGATTAGATACAATAATCTTTGTATGCTGCAAAGTACAACACCCGATTGTGTAGTAAAAATTTAGTTTAAAATTTTATATATTCTCCAACTTTCTATTATTCGAGAAAGATATAATGGAAGATTAAAAACTTAATTAAACTACAAATGCTTATGAACTAATGGAAGAATCGTCAATTTTGAAGAAATCTTAAACATTATTGTAATTTTAGATACATTTTCCATAATTTTCCTCCTTAAGAAAACCATGTACGTTGTGCCCCCGCGCCCCCCCCCCCCAAAAAAAAAAAAAATTGAAAAGAAAAAGAAAGAAAGAAAATTAATAAGATTTTACAAATCAAATTTAGTACACCTTATTTCATAGAATGACCTTTAAGGGCTTTAAATATCAATGGATGTACGGCTAGATATATTCCGACTGTCTCATAGTGTCTTTACCCTATCCACAGTGCCATGTACCTTTACTAGTTCTCTTAAAGGTGGGAGCTTCATGGACATACACTAAAGCACGTACGAGTAATTGACTAACATTTACTTGGAGGTGTTGTTTATGTGATGGGGAGGGAAATATGAACAAGTTATTTGTATCTAACCGAGCTAGCACCTCGAATTAGAATGTGAGACTTTTATATAATTATCAGTAACAATAAAACAATACCAAAGCCTTATTTCCTCGACTGGTTATCGTTATGATTAAGATGCATAAAATAAAAATTTTAAGTAGTCAAGCTCTAAATTCCCTCATATAAGCAAACAAGCAATCCAATCAAAGCAATTTGACAACTTTGTTTCAAAATTTTTTAGAAGCCAAAAAAATCTGTAAGTTAAAAACTGCCAAGGACTCCTATAAAAACCAAAGAAAAAAAAGAAAAAAAAAAAGCTGATAACTTACCTGAATAATCTTGTATTATCCTGCAAATAGAGTACACAAGATCTAACATCCAAGCCTATGCAGCTGTACCACCACCAGATTCAGAATTCAAGCCTGTAAGTGTTACCTTCTATTATGATCTGAACTGAGCAATCAATATTGTCAATACAGACTCGCAAGCCAGTGCTCCAAGAAGAGAGGGGGAAAAAAGCTTGAGTAAACAACAGTTTTCAGATAAAGCAGAGATGTTATACTGTAAAAAATTAGGCAACTTAAGGCCCCGTTTTGGTTTGATGTAAAATATTTTCAATAAAAAACTAGGTTTAATGGAAAACATATTTTCAAGAAAAACCACACTTGCAAGATAGTTTTCCTTTGTTTGGTTCTTACAAGAAAAATTAAGAGAAATTAAAAATATGAGTGGAAATGTGGAGATGGATGAGAGAAAAATAAAAAGGAGATAAGGGAAAGGGAGGAAAATGTGGCTTCCCTTGTTTTATAAAGAAAAATGTTTTCCACTATTATGGATGCAATTTTCCACCATTTGGAATATTATTTTCCACCTCTTCACAATCAAACAAAGGAAAATGGGAAACTCATTTTCCATGAAAACATTTTACATCAAACTAAACAGGGCCTAACTGTGTTTCTTTCAAGAAAAAAAATATATGTGATTCTGTGAAGAGCTTGTTCTGACAGAGGATGCAAAGATCATGATAACATATAAATGCTCGGACACACTGAAGACATAGCTAAAATATACCTGCATAATTAAGGATTGCAGCAGTCCAATATTGCGATTGCACTCTAGCTATCATATCTATTTCACAATAAACACATGGAAGTCACAAACCTCACAATTGGGGTTTAGAATCAACTGTTGCCATTATCACCAATTATAGGCTAAAAGCACGATCAGTACTGTAGAAAATAAGTGATAATACAACACAATGGGAAATAGATAAGGTAATGACTATACTGAAAGACGACGGGGCACATCTAGTAGTGATAGTATAATGGACTAAGATAAATTCAGTAAAATTGCTGAACAAATTGCAAACCCACAGTATTTGCCCTTTTCATCATAATTGCTACATAGTGCATATATTGCCCTTTTAACAAACAGGCCAATTTTCACGACTCACGAAGCCCTTTGTCATGGTCTCACGGTGCTTTGTGATGCACAGCTTTACTACTCATAGCTACATTTAGCAACAAGTATACTCTCGTGCAAGTCTTACGATTATATTTGTGATTCCAAAATTTTACTTGAATTCCCTAACTACATGCAGTTCTCTAACTTAGGGTTCTGAAGCAGAAAATTTTCTTCATAACTAACCAACCACTCCATGACCTTATGCATAGAAAAGAGGTGCCTTTACAGTCCAAAGAACATAATTTGTTGTATCCTCTGAAAAAGCTCAAGAATGCCATTTTAATTTCATCACTAGATTTGCACAAAATCACGTGATTAATTCAAAATTGATTTATTAACTCGGTAAAACATTGTAGACTCAAAAAGGACATCAACCAAGAGAATCAAAATTTTTGTAAGAAAAAAATATACAAAAGCAAAAAAAAAAAAAACTATGGCCATAAACTGTATAAGTTGGACCATTTGTCCTTGTCCTTTGATTGTTCTTGTTCTACTTTTTCATGTGAAGCACAAACCTAGCTATGTTATAGTATGGCTGACCAATCAAATGAGAATAATTCAAAGTAAAACTAGCTATGTTAGTATGTTATAGTATGGCTGACCAATCAAATGAGAAGCAAGCAACGTAAGTCTAGTAAGATATAAAACAAGGAGTTATCACATAGCTACTAAAACATGCAGCAACAAAATCTAGTCTGATACATGAATCATGCTATGTATAGTCTTATTCCAATACTTAGTTTTCTGACTACACGCAGTATTCTCTGGAATCGAGATTACGTATTAATCAGAATCCTACATAGAATTCTATTACACTAACCAGCAGTCAATCGCTTTACATACATACACGTATATTAAATAACTCGTCAATTGGAAATCAAACACCAAAATATGCCAATTAGTATAAAGCAACCTATCATCAATATCACAAACCCTGTTCCACTCCTCAAAGAAAACATAAGTGCAGGAACGACTCGACGGAAAAACGATCATCTAATCATCAACGCACGAGTGAGTAAACCGATAAGCATCATCCACATCCACAATGATGCATTGCAGGATTGCAAATAAAGAAAATTCCACAACTCCTAAGACTTCCCGGAGTTGTCAAAACTTGCTAAAACAAGCAAATCAAGCCATTGCAAGAACCCACAAAATCTATATTTCGGATTTGTCTCTTTTAAAAATTTAAATCAAGAGGAAAACAATTTCTAATGGAATTTTCAGCTTGTTGTACTCATCATAGTGCAATAACATGAGCTTGAGCTTGAGCTTGTATATGAACTATAATTACGAGTATGTGTAAGTATGATAATTTGGACGAAGAAAAGCAAAGATATAATTGGGGTTTTACGAATTCATCAGTAGAAAATACAAACAACAGAATAACAAATTTTCGAAACAGAATTGAAAGGAATTAGGGTTTTTACCGGCAATATTGGGAGAATGAGACCAATATCAGGTGTTCTGGAAGAATTGCGTTGATTAGGGCTGATGCTGAAACATTGTCGTTGTTTTTCACACTTGAATTAGCAATATTACCATCGAAATTATCATCCTCACCATTTAAATTCGCCATTTTTCTGAGTTCTTCCTTATTTTTGTTGTGTGGAAATTTAGTCAAGTTGTTGAAAGAGAGTGAAAAATGAGAACATTGACTACACCTGTATAGTTTATTTATTTATTTATTTACCTCTACTCTTTCTGTCTTTCAAAGCTAGAGTAACTCCAATGGTCGGTCAATAGTCAAGTATGTAAAAGGATATGTATGTATGCAATAAAAATAAGAAAATTTTGATTTAAATAATTAAACCTTTGCCTTATTTAATATTAATAATTCAACGTTTTGCTTTTTATTAAACACTTTCATTAAGTTATTATAAAACGGTTTATAGTTATCTTAAGGGACTGCCTAAAATAGATATAATGGGAAGGGAACAATAAATGAGCAGTAATTTTGGATTTTTTCCTTCTAAGATTGGATTTGGGTAATTAATTAGTTGATAACCTATTTCCACCCGTTAAAAAACCACTCTCCTTTGCTATATTGTATCTTCCTTCTCCCCTGCTATATACTATATCCTTCACCTCCATATCTTTCTGCCCAATTGAAGTTGTTGGCCGCCATTATAGCCGCCTGATGGAAGCTGCTAGCTGCCACCATAGCTTCTCAATTCCGGCGAAATTACGGTTAATTGGTTTGATCAAGCTGAACTCAAACTCGACTAAATACATCATGTTTCAACATGTGCAATTAAGGCTTTGTAATGTTATATGGCTAGGGAAATTTGTGTGAAAAAGTTTATCCTATCTTTGTCATTCAATTGATAGTTTAGATTCTTTAGGTAAAGGACGCAGAGTATATTAAAAAAAATGCAAACAATTGAGTTTGAGTTTGGCTCTTTTAATAGTTGAAATGTAAATTAAGCTTGAACATGTCTCGTTAACAATTGAACAAGGTTGGATCAAACTTTCCAAACCACCAGAATGTATTTCTTCTTTCCAGCAGCACTCTCGGTTGGCACCATGCAATAGATCGACTCACAGTGACAACCCCTTATGGCGGCTGACTCACGACAAACTTGGAGAGGGTCAGGGTTTTATTCTACTCAAAAAGGAAAATCACCAAAGAGCAAAGAGCTAGTTGAAATAACAAATAAGAAACATATTGATTATTGCTTGCATGACAATCATTAGCTATAAACTATATGATATTATTATTAGCATACTAGTATGCCTACAAACAACAAAACTTGGCGTTAAAATAACATTAATGCTCACTTAACAGTACTAGGGGGAGTTTTAATGGGAAATAAACCTTGAGCAACAAGAGAACTAGTAAACTAGAAAAGGCAGTCACAGCAAGAAGACGCAAATTTATCAGTAATAGAAGTCAATTAGCAAGGAGGAAAGGGGCCAAAGAGATCAGGACAGTAGTCAGGGAAAAGGAGATGGTTGTTTATGTCCAATGTCGATGGTTTCACTGACCCGCGTAACCATGTTCATGATCAATTCAAGCCAGTTTTGCTTACAAAATTCAGAAAGGAACAAATACTCAAATTCATACAAAGCCAAAATGAAATTGATGGATTAAATAATTACTTCGTTGCTGTTATTATCATGAACCAACCACTACAACAGCAACAGACTTACAAAATTGTCAACTTCTCAACAATAATAATATTTTATGCTCAGGCTAGATAACATACAGCTTTGAGTCTGAATCAGTCTCAGAAAAGCTACAACAACACAACAGCAACACCACCACCACCACAACTGATGTGGATGTTAACCCACAAAAATGACTTAGGATCGTTTGGATTTTGACAGAAAACTGTGTCGGGTGTCAAGTTCAATAATCGGATAAAGGAATAATTGTCAAATAGTTCGAATGAAGCAAATCAAACACTAAGTAAAGATTTACTCCAAACACTTTTACTCTTAACACTAAGTATCAAGTAAAAGCCTGTGAAAACACTAAGTAATCACGAATAAAATGTACAAAGCAAAATGTATTTTTGGTTTTAATCAATCATTGTCCATCCATATGGCCATGAGTTTTATTTATAGTGATCATTAAGGAAGTTTAGAAGTCATAAAAGAACCCCTTGAGCTTCCCCTAATACACACGCCTACTATGGAATATTCAAGCTGATTCTATGCTTGAAAACCCCTTACAAACAGCTAGGAATGAACTAAAACAAGTCTAGATACATCCCCCTAAATGCAAGCTCCTAATAAGCCTTAAAACTAGCTAATTATTGATAGCTCATTAACATGGCCATTTTACATAATTAAGGACTAAATAATCTGTCAAAATAAAGCTTAAACAACCAGCCATAACCCCCATTCAAAGAGCTAAAACGTCCTCCTTCTTTAAAGCTAAGAATCAAAGCAAAACATAAAGTTAAGCGTGAAAACCGCAGCAAATGACGAAAAAACCGCTGCCTTTAATGCCTCAGAACCGCAGCAAATGATGCATGCTGAAATTGCACCTTTTGTAACAGTTGTTTTAATGCTTTAAAGAGGACGGTTTATACTTCTCTTAGGCTGATTTTGCCCCTTCGAATTCTTCCCAATGAACACATGTGACGAATGTATTATTGGAAGAGAATCCAATGTACTTAGGCATGATTTCTTTGCCTAATTCACGAACCAATAATGCATGGACTTGGGCTTGATCATGAACCTTTATTTGACCTTGGTTTTTGTTGTTTGATTCCTCATCAACAACGGCAACAAAAACAACGACGACGACGACATCATCAACAACAAAAAGTGCTAATTCCCAGACAAACCAAGGTCAAATGGGAAAACTCATGATAAAACCTGATACAAGCGAGATTTAAACCACAACGCGAACACACCAACATAAGATAGCAACGTCGATCACACTTCATGGTCTTCCTCGTCAATGGACATGATTGATCTGAAGGGGGAAATGAGACTCTCAACATACCCTACCGCATTCGAAAGAGTTCTTTTATTGTCACATGAGCAAGTATGGCTTTGCCTTTGTTTTTCCGTACCCAGACTTGCATCAACTATCATGAACCGGTTCGGTGTTTGGAGCTCAATACATTTCTCTAATAAAAACTTGCCTGTGGGGGTGACATGACTAGCAAACGTGCACGGAAGATGGAAAGAACCCACTTTCTCCCAAGAAGTCAAGTCATCAAATTGTTTCAATGTCCAAACTTCAGTCATCCAATCGATTAAGCTGATGCATTCTATTGATAAGCACCCATTCCTCGAGAAAAACCTCGTACTAACGTACTGTTGTAACCAATCCATCCAAGGGAATACTTTCATCTGTGGTAACCAATCCATCCAAGGGAATACTTTCACCTGTTCACTAACCAAATCATACCCTACAATGCGCTTAAGCATCGCATATCCCGGAAACCCAACAGACCAATACAGAATATCATTGACCACTTTCGTGTCCCAGCATAACCATTCATGTCGAGTAAAATAATCATCAAGGTCATATATTCTTTTCCAATTCCCAGTCTTAAACAAAAACACATAAAAGTATACAGGAGGTTCACGCTGAACTCTTAATCTAGACAATCCAAATAGCACGGCTATCCTGTAGTCATCAATAGATGGTATATAACCAAACCAAGAAGTACTAGAGCAGTACTCAGGATTAGGATACATAATTTCACGGTATGAATGCAGAGCAGGATTGCAGATAAAGAAGAAACACAAATTCCTACATTTGAAGCAAACCAACCCATTACCAGAACCCACAAAGCTAACATTATTTTTAGATAATTTTGTTGAAAAGATGAATCAAAAAAGTTTTCCAATTCAATTGGGTTTTCCAGATTGTCAGATTCTTCATCATCATATGGCAATATCATGAATCTTAAAGGTCTTTTAATGATTAAAATAATTTGATTGGGGGAGAATTTGAGATGGGATTTTGCAAATTCAGGAGTAGAAATTGTAGAAAGCCAGAATTTAGAAACAGATGTGAAACGGATTATGAGATCATCGGGAATAGTTAGGGTTTCCGCCGAAAAATTACTAATGTTGATGATCCTGCAATTCACATGAGCAATCGTATCAGGATCATTCTCTTCCCTCAATTTCACCATTATTCAGATTTTCAGACAAATACTCTAGTTGTGACCAATTGGTATTTCAGACGAGAGATAAAAGCAGAAAAATTGAGGAAATGTAGTGTTTCGGAATAGTGCAAGATGTTAAAGCAGTGCATTAAAGACGTATTTATTAAGAAATGGAGATGTGAAGAATCACTTTGTGTTATTAAGTAACACGCAAACACTTATTAGTTATTACGCATGGTGAGTGCCGACACATATGTTTGATCATTAATATCTTTAATTGCGTATTAGTAAAAAAATAAAAGATATTATGAAAATATACCTCATATCTAATTCAACAATATATATATATATATATATATATATATATTAGGAAAATTTGCAGGAAATTTAGAGTGCCATGTGTCACTCTTAAAGATCTATTATTTTTATCCTTATTTTTTGGGGGGTTCTCTTCACCTCGAATTAATTTCATGGCCCCTTCACTCTGAATGAATTTCTTGCCCCTTTACCCCACATATAAAAGATATTAAAATTTGAAAATTATACAAATTCAAAATTTCAAACATAAATTTTTTATCAAAAATGATGACATACATGTAGTCTATAAGGCATTATTTGATTACATATAATGTAAAATCAATTTAAAAACAAAAGAAAAAAATGGAAATTCTCAATGGTGAGTTGGTGACCCTCAACTCCTTTTTAATTTTAATACAAAACCATAAGTAATAATTTATCCCAATTATGCCATTAATGTGAGTTAAATGGGTTAGTTTTCATTAATATCCTAACCATGGTTAACCTAATCTTTCACCATATCATTTTCCTAACATACACCACTATCCCATAAACAACACCTCCCGGCCCTATCCACACCACATCATTATGCTGTCCTACACGACTCCAACTTCCTCCATCTCCAAGCTAACACCTTCATCTCCTAGCTAACAACAATCAGACCACCGCTATGGCCCCTCCTACACTGACCACCCCCACTCCCACGTACACCAACGACCCCCACAAACCCCTCTCACTCTCCACCTCCATATCTCCTCCATGGATTATATTAATGATTTAATGGTGGGTCTAAGTAAGGAAAATCCAGCCCATCATCTAAATTCTCAACCTCATCTAGAATTAAGGTCAACACCATTTCCATTTTCGGCATTTTGAGAGGACCTATCTAATTTCTTATGTGTTTTTTGAGGAGTGGTGGATTTTCTTTATGCCGTTTGGTTCACTGTGGCGTTTGGGAGATTCTTGGAAGCAATTGACTTAATAATATGCAAGTGAACATTAATTTCAAACAAGGAAAATTACTTAAAGGTAAATAGTGATAGAAATTCCAATTGGAGCAGCAAAAGGTTCTCTCAGCCCAGTTTCTGCAAATACTCAGATCTTCGATCAGATTTTATGGTTTTAATTCCTCCATTAATTGGAGTTGGAAGAAGCTCTATTTTGGGTGGAGGTTGAAATTGGTGGGAAAATTTGAAAGGGGTTGGGCAGCAGGTATGAAAAGAAACGGCAGCAAGGTGGTGGTTGGGCAGTGGCGGTGGTGATTGGGCTGTGAGCCGTGTGACGTTGGGGAAAAGGAGGATGGAAGGTGGGGGTTGAGTTTTTTTTAAACAATATTTTAAAAAAAAACATCATTAAGGTCATTTGTGGGATGAATTCAAACTTAGGGTCATTCAATTTTAATAATACAAAGTCTATATATGTATATATATATATGGATTTTTTAGAAAATAACACCACAAAATAACCACAAATTTGATTATAACACCACAAAATTTCAAACTTTTATTATAACACCACATAAAAACACAAAAATTTGATTTCACCACCACTTAACGGATCCTTGGATGGAATCCGTTAAAGGGGTCCACCATGTATACATGTCACTCATTTAGTGGATTAAAAAAAAGAAAAATTAAAAAAAAAACAAAAAACAAAACCTAAACCCTAACCCAGCCCCACCATCGGCAACCCACCAACGAAACCCAGCCCGGCCTTGAAACACGCCACCACCAACGAAACCCAACCAAGCCTTGAAACACGCCACCCAACCACCAATGAAACCGGCAACGGCCGAAAACCACCAATCCTTTACCTTTTCACCCTTAAAATGGTCGGAATCGACTATGAAAACCCAGAATGATCGATTTTGATGGTTGATTTGGCCGTTTCAAGGGTAGGGGAAAGGGGGGTGGTTTTGCGTGGTGGTGGCTGAGGTGTTTCGGGTTGGCTGGGGTGGTGTGTCGACTGGAGTGTTTTGGGTTGGGCTAGTGTAGTGCGTCCGCTGGGTAGGTGGGGAAGGGAGTGCCGGCGGTGGTGGTGGGGTTGGTTTAGGGTTAGGGCTGGGTTAAATTTGGGATTTTAACAAAAATTCCCAGTGCATTACAAGTTAAAATTAGTTATTATATATAAGTGAAAAAATTTAGTCAAACTCAATATCTCTATTATATTAGTGAAAGGGAGAGCATTTGGTGTCCATCAAAGATACAATGATATCTTTCATAGCTCAATGGGGAAAATAACAATCAACCAGCATGGGTGGAAAGAAATGTTTGATAATTACAATTACAACTAAAATGGAAACTAATCATTGACAAATCAATCACATTTGGCAAGGTAAAAATTGGCACTAATTATTCAAATAATTTCCATCTATTAAAGAATTTCAATTATGAAGGTACAATCAAGGAAATACAAATCATGGAACTTTTATAATTAAGAAAATTCTATTAAAATGATTAAGGAACTAATTCCACTTTGTCAATAGATGTTTATAACTAATTTTATCAATAATACAATTTTTCTCCTCCTTATTCTTACAAGTACACGAAAAAGGTATAGTTTGTGTGTGTTGATTTTAGAATTAGGAATTCATGTCGTTAAAGAAATATGTTCCAATGCATTAAATACTTTTAATTTATATATATATTATATAAATGTTATTGTATTTTTTTGTGTTATAATCTTCAAAAAGTTGACTATTTTGTTATAATTATGTTATTTTAGTTTTTTAAGAAATTCTACTTTTTTCGTACGTGCATCACAAATGTGTGTTTGGTACACCCAAAAAGTTACAATAAACCGCGCATATATGACTAGTGTAAAAATGCAAAAAGTCAGTATGTCATTCAATAAAGCGGAGGGTATAAATAAAAAAATAAAAAAAGTTGTTTTTGACTTATGTCATTAAAAAAAAATATAATAATAAATAAAAACTTTGGATTATGGATATAATCCTCTTTAGACTTATTCAACTCTTCTACTTGGATCATGCAATTTTCAAGATTTTTTTTCCCACATATTCACTATATTTGATTATATATTTATATTAATTAATTATGAATAAAATATACTACTTTCATTTTTTATTATGTACAACAAAGGAATATTTTATGTATCACAAATAATACCCCTTTATTGCACATAATAAGAAACGGAGGTAGTATAACGAGTTAGCAACATCTTCACCATACAATTAATTATAGCTTGGTCCAATCCGTTTAATTCCACAAATGAACAAGAATGAGCAAATCGATATTAGTTCATTTTGTGCAAGCAAATATAAAATGAAGCAAAATTAGTTTGTTCATATTTCGCTAGTCACAAATTAATTTGCTCATTTTGTTTAAATTATTAGATACAATAATCTTTTGTATATTGCAAGATACAACACCCCGATTGTGTGGAAAAACCTAAGGTTAAGACTTTATCTATTCTTTAATTTTTCATTATTTGAGAAAGATACAATGGAAAAATAAAACTTAATTAAACTACGATTGCTTATGATGAACTAATGGAAGGATCGTCAAATTTGAAGAAATCTTAACCATTATTGTAAATTTACATACATTTCCATAACTTTCCTCCTAAAGAAAACCATGTATGTTGCTTCCCAAAAAAAAAAAAAAAAAAAAACATATGAACATTAGTACAATAGTACTCTTTGTCAATGGCTTCAGTTGTATAAATTAAATTTAGTACACCTTATTTCATAAAATGACCTTTAAGGGCTTTAATAATCAAACGATGTATGGCTACATGTATTCTGACTTTCTCATAGTGTCTACCCCATCCACAATTTCACAATGGCAGGTACCTTTACAAGTTCTCTTGAAGCTGGGAGCTTCAATGGACATACACAAAAGCATGTACGAGTAGTTCAGTAATATTTACTTGGAGGTGTTGTTTATATAATAGTGAGGGGACTATGAACAAGCTTTTTTTTTTTTTACTTGGAGGTGTTTATATATTGGGGAGGGGAATATGAACAAGCTGTTTGTATCGAACCAAGCTAGCACCTCGAATCAGAATATGAGGCTTTTATATAATTATCACATATATACAACAATACCAAAGCCTTATTTCCTCAACTGGTTATGATTAAGATACATAAAATAAAGATTTGAAGCATTCAAGCACTAAATACCCTCATATAACCAAACAAGCAATCCAATCAAAGCACTTTGACACTTTGTTTCAAATATTTTAGAAGTCAAAATAAAAAACTGTTCGTTAAAATCTGCCAAGGACTCCAATAAAACCAAAGAAAAAAAAAAAAAAAAAAAAAAGCTGATTAACTTACTTGAGTAATCTTATAATATCCTGCAAATAGAGTACACAAGATCCAATATCCAAGCCTGTGCAGCTGTGCCACCACCAGATTCAAAATTCAAGCTTGTAAGTGTTGATCCAAATTGAGCAATCAATATCGTCAATACAGACTCACAAGCTGCACCTTTGGTCCTTTCCTCCAAGAAGAGAGGAAAAAAAGAATCCTAAGTAAACGGCAGCTTTCAGATAAAGCAGAGAAGCTATACATATATTGTAATAATGCTCGAAAACACGGAAGACATAGCTAAAATCTACCCGCATAATTGAGGGTCACAGCAGTCCAATATTGCGATTACAATCTAGCTATCATATCTATTTGATATTAAACACATTGAAGTCAGAAACCTCATAGTTGGGTGTTAAGAATCAACTGTTGCCATTATCACCAATCATAGGCTTAAAGCACGAACAGTACCGTAGGCAATAAGTGATAATACAACAAAATAAGGGATGGATAAGGTAATGACTATACTGAAGAAGGATGGGCACATTAAGTGATAGTCTAATGGACTAAGATAAATTCAGTAAAATTGCTGAACAAATTGCAAACCCACGATATTGCCCTTTTCATCATAATTGCTGAACAAATTGCATAAGTGCAGGAACGATTCGACGGAAAAACAATAATGTAATCATCAATGCACAAGTAACCAAACCAATAAGCATCATCCACATCCACAATAATGCATTACAGGATTTCAAATAAAGAAAATTCCACAACTCCTAAGACTTCCCGGAGTTGTCGAAACTTGCTAAAACAAGCAAATCAAGCCATTGCAAGAACCCACAAAATCTATATTTCGGATTTGTCTCTTTTAAAAAAGCAAATCAAGATTAAAACAATTTCTAGTGGAATTTTCAGGTTGTTGAACTCATCATAGTGCAATAACATGAGCTTGTATATGAACTACAATTACGAGTATGAGTAAGTATGATAATTTGGACGAAGAAGAGCAATAATATAATTGGGGTTTTACGAATTCATCAGTTGAAATAATAGAATAACAAATATTTGAAACAGAATTGAAAGGAATTAGGGTTTTTACCGGGTATACTGGGAGAATGAAACCAAAATCAGGTGCTCTGGAATAATTGTGTTGATTTGGGGTTGATGCCGAAACATTTTCGTTGTTTTTCAGAAACTTGGAATCAGCAATATTGCAAATGAAATTATCATCCTCACCATTCAATTTCGCCATTTATTCAAATTTTTCCTTACGAGTATTGTTGATTGCAAAATTTAGTTAAGTTCAGCAGAAACCAATGAAAATCCAATGAAGCTGGAGGAAAGTGAAAATTGAGAGCATTTACTACACCAAAAAATCTATAGTCTACGACTGTACGAGTATTCTGTAAAACATACGTATACAATAAAAATTAGGAAATTTTGAGTTAAATAATTCAACATTTGCCCTAGTTTATTTTTACAATCTAGCATTTTGATTTTTGTTGATTGTTGGATCACTGACTTATATATATGGTTGGCAATAAGGGTGAAACAAATACGGTTTAAAATCAAACCTTACCGTAAACTAAATCGAATGTTATTTTGTTTTTTTTAATATGGTTCGATTTGGTTTGGGAAATTAAAAAAATTCGATTTACGTTTTCGTTTTGGTTTGAGGTTTTGAAAAACCAAAAACCAAACCAAAATTTTGGCCCTTATCTAAATTATAGCGCAATTCTAATTTTCTACCCTACATCTATAAAGCAAACAAAAATAATTAATCTATTGTTCTTCAATCTTAAGGGTTTTGAAAAATCGCCCAAAAAAAGTTATAAATCAAAACCAAATATACTAGACCCAACAATTGCGGTTTGGTTTGGTTTTTTTTCTTTTTTTTTAAATGAATTAAAAACGGTGTAGTTTGGTTTGGACTAAATAGTAATATGATGCGATGTGGTATAAAAAATCTCAAACTAAATTAATATCCTTTAGTTTCAAATTGGGCTATAAACCACACTCCAACCGAACTTTCACCCCTTAGCTAGTCACACCGTGCGCCCAGCCATCATGGATTCATGGGGGTTATTCGATCAGGTTACATTAGTTTCATCAATATTTTAGGTGTAATACCCCGTATTTTTATACGTATTTTAATTTAAATCATTATTTTATAAAGTATTTAAATAATTCGAAATGAATTATTTATGGTATTTTATTAATTTAAAAACGTTTATTTTAAAAATTAAAGGTCCGTTTGTATTAATTAATTATTTTGGAAATATTTTATTTTATTATTATAAAACTTTGGGGCATATTATTTTATAAAAGAAAATTTTAAGTTAACGATATTTAAAGAAAGTCAAATGACTAGTTTGATTAGTAGAAGGAATCATTAAGGATAGAAGTGGAAATTTAAGCTAGGAGGGTTTTGAGAGAGGGTATAAATACCCATCATATGAGCAAGTTAGATCTTGCCCAAGATGGAGAATACCCAAAGGTAAACTCTCTCTCTCCTCTTATTTTTCTCTCCCTTAATTTTTCCTCTCCCCTTTATTTTTACACACCCCACACGCACACACAAGGTGGTCGGCCGCCACCATCACCTCCCACTGGCCGACCACCACCGCCAGCGACAGCCGACAACAGCAGCCGCCGTAGCAGCCCCCTCCCCGTCGTGTGGTTGTGCGGCTTTAACAAAAAGAAAAAGTAAAAATCTTTTTGTTTTAATTCTAATCTAGCCTTGATTCAATTATTATTTTTGGGTTTTTTTTGATGATTTTTATGATATTTGATTATGATTATTATGTATAATTCCAGATTTAGTTTTTGAATTAAAAAGCCCTAAATAACCCTATGTTTCTAAATTAATGTATGTTGATAGATATTGATTGTAGATGATTGAAATTATTAAATTAGATGTTTCTAAATATAATTACAGCAATTTTACATGATTTTATAAAGCTGTTTTTTTATATAAAGGTTAGAATTATGTTTCTTGAAAGGATTTTTAATTACCCATTAATTGGGAATAAAAGTAAGGGTTTAAAATTAATTTTCAGCTTGTTTTAGAGGGTTTATAAGTGATCTAAAGAGTGTATATATTGCTGAAAATTTGTATTGAATAAGTATTAATGTCTCTTTGTAATTTTGGGTTGTAGGAGATTTCCAAATGAGTGATTTCATTTAGTCGTGGCAATTTTGAGACCATATTCGAGGTACGTTTGCGTACTCGATAATTATTGAAGTGTATAAAAACATGGTAGTATCATGATAGGTAGTATCATGATAGGTATGGATTGGAATTGTTGATTTGATTGATGTTGGTGATCGATTTATGGAGTATGAAGTATTTATGATGGATTGATGATTGGAATTAATCATGTTGGCATGTTGAATATGAACTACACTTTTATTATTGGCATGATTGAGAGCATGTTTGATTGTAGTTCATATAATTTTTATTGATGCTTTAAGCATGAGGATCAAGCTATCAAGTGTCTTAGAACACAAAAATAAAATATTTTGCGGTGCCTATGTGCACTTAAAGTGTTCAAAACACCGAGGGATAGAATTTGCGGTGCTTTATGCGCCTAAGGTGTTATTTAACACCGAGGTACTTTAAAAAGGGTTCAACATTAAAACCACGTGGTCACTAATTGTTCAAGAATTGAATTTTGGTATGTTTGATTGCTTGAATGATTTATTATGATTGATTGTGTTATATTTTAAGAGTCATCACCAAGTCTAAATATATGTAAACAACGTAAAATGAAAGAGATTACCCACCAAAACTATTGAAACGTATATACCTTCAGTATGAACATATGAGGGGAGTTATGGGTTTTATATTTAACCATAACTTCTACTGGAAGTACAGGACGCTGTATTTTCTTTTTATTATTATGCGCAGGACGTCCGTCACTTCATGTGATATTTTCCTACCCGGTTAGTTTCCGGTGTAGTCTACCCCAATTCTTTGGGGCAGGGATTTGGTGAGAAACTCATTCGATGCGTAATCAAATTAAATAAGCATTTTATGTATCTATTGGTTGAGTTGATTGTGTTGTATGCTTGTAAACAGGTGCAACAAGGTAAAATGTGTGTTGATAGGATGAAAGCATGTTAGTGTGTACTGTTTACGCTTATATACTCAGTTTTGTTGATTGTGTGTTGTATGCTTGTTTGGCCTTGTCTTTATCTTGGCCCTACTACGACCCAATTCTAATGGCGAGTAGTGAGAACAAAGTAAAGAGAAGCTTTTCAGGTGATGAAGCATGTTCATGATGGGCATGAGTGAAGAGTGAATCATATTTAATTTCCATAAGACTGTGATGTGGTTTGTTGCTTTGAATATTATATATTTTGCTTGTGAGACTAACACAATGGTTTTTAAACATTTATTTTGATTTTGATAAAGGCCTATAATGGTTCCAAGTTGGAGGTTGCCTTTGTTTGACTTTGATTCGACTTTATTTTCGTTTGGTTTGACTTTTTAAATTGACTTGTTTTGATTTTTTTTTCTTTTTAAAGAAAATCTTCCATTGTATGTCTTTCATAATTGCCTTAGCCGTTTTCACGGTGGCGGTAATATCTTAAAATTTCCGATTTAGTATTTAAAAAGAGCAAAATATGTATTTTATAGTGGAGTTTTTCCCGAGTTTTTAGAGCGCCACGTAGGATTTTAATTTTTAAAAAATTATTAGAGCGCCACTTAAGATTAATATATTAAAACGCTATAATAAGATTTTGCCACATAAGATTAGTTTTTTTTAAAGCACTACATAGAATTAAAATAAAAAAAATTGCCACGTAGAATTAATAATTTTGAAACGCTACAATAGGAATTTGTCACGTAAGATTAGAATTTTTTTAAAGCGCTACATATGATTATAATAAAAAATTGCCATGTAGGATTAATAATTTTAAAAAGCTACAATAGGATTATGCCACGTAAGATTAATTAGAGCGTCACATAGGAAATTCTTATATTTTAGCCAATAAAAAAAAATTTGCAATTTGTTTTAGATTAAAAAATTTAGGATTTTTTAGAAAATAACACTACAAAAATCACAGAATTTTGATTATAACACCATAAATTTTAAAACTTTTATTATAACACCACCAAAAAACCCAAAAATTACTCTACTATCCACTGACGGATTTTTGGATGGAACCCGTTAGTGGGACCACTATGGACACGTGTCAACTAGGTATTGGTTTTAAAAAAAATTAAATAAGAAAAAAGAAAAGAACTGTAACCCAGCCATTAGCCTTCCACCGGCAGCCCAGTCCTAGCCGCCGGACGTCAATCCTAAGTCGTCGGCACCCTCTGTCCCACCAAAACCAGTGAAATCAGGCCAACCACCACCCTCATAACTGGCGACAACCATCCTAATCCTATCAATTGTTGCGGAAACGAAATCCACCGCAAAATTCGTCGCCAAGAAATTGATTTGGTTTCTGGGTACGGGTTTGGGTTTGGGTATGGGTGTGGGTTGGGGTTTTGGTGGTTTGGCGACGGTTTTGAGTAGGGGAGAGGATTTCGGCGAAAGTGGTGGGTGTGATGTTTTTGTTTCGGCTGGTTTAGGTTGGGGCTACGGTGGTTCGACGACGGTGTGGACTGGGGTTTCGGCTGGTTTAGGTTGGGGTTACGGTGTTCGGCGAAGGTGTGGGCTGGGGTTTCGACTGGTTTAGATTGGGGTCACGATGGTTCGGCGACGGTTTCGGAGTTTCGTTGACGATTTCGGCAGATCAAGAGCTGGGTATGGGTGACGACGGTAGGATCGGCGCCGGTGGTGGAGGTGGTGGCTGGGTTAGCATTTTTAAAAATTTCTCTTTTTTTTTCCTGTTTTTTTTTTTTAATCCAATAGATGATTGACATGTGTACATTATGTGACCCATTTAAAGGTTTTTTTGGAGGGCAAAGTTAAGTGGTGGTGAAACCAAATTTTTGGGCTTTTTGGTGGTGTTATAATAAAAGTTTTTTTTTTTTTTTTTTTTTTTTTTTGTGGTGTTATAATAAAAATCGAGACTTTTTTTGTGGTGTTATTTTCTAAAATTTTCTAAAATTTATATTAATTATAAAAATAAAATCAGCGTGTTTTTATGTGGCTTGCCATATCGTGTGGTCGACGTGATCGACTGAGACATACCCAACCACTGACCGAGTAACCTCTAACCGTGCATGTAACCCTTGATTAATTGAATAACCCTTGACCAACCAAGTAACTCATGACCAAGTAATCCCGACTATACGGTGTGACCAGCTACATATGAAATTTGTGAAATAAAACTTTGTGAGTATCTTTTTATATTACAAATTTTATCTAAATATGAGAAACAAAATTAATAATTTATTTTATAATAAAAAATTCAAGTAGTATGCAATCGAATATCCCAAAATTTATTAGATAAATATATATTAGTAAAATATTTTATTTGAAAAAGTACAAACAAACCGTATATTGTACGGGATTCATCTAATTAAAATAAATTTAGAGCTGTATATATTATCTCAATTCTCAACACTAATTGACCTACGTACTCAGGCTGGCCCGCTTATATTAACGAATAGATCTAAAACAGTAAAACTCGATACTAATACGGTCATACGGTCATACCATATCGTGTTCAATACGTGGTCTATTGGTGGTATTATATCAACTTTATGAGTTTCTTCTTTTTCTCATTGCTTGACAAAACTCACAAAGCACACATTTCAAACATGTGGTGAAGGTTGATTCCCCGACAAATTTATCAAACCCCATTCTTTGACAAAGTGCACCTAAAACTAAACCTAACCACTTACCGTAAAATATAAGCTGTCCCCTATTTTTCTCTCTTTTTTTTTTTTTTTTTTTTTTTTTTTTAATTTCTTTTCACAAAAATTGGAAATAATATCATCTCAGACTGTCCCAGTTTCTACTACGCCTCTTGTGAGTTTTGTCCACTTCAAATTATCATATTACCCCCCTTTATTTATGCAATTAATTCATACCTCTCGAATCCTCTTTTGTTTTGGGTTTTGATTGTATTTCACGTGATGTTTTTAATTTACGACAATGACATTGCATCTTAAATCACCAAATATAACATTGACCAATGTATAATTTTGTCAAATATTTCTAAAATGGAGTATTAAGTATATTAGAGGTTTGTTTATATTTCTAAGAATTATAGTCATATATACACACTGTGATCTTTAATTTTAAAAAATGATATACATAGTGGATAATTAACTAACTAAGTTGGTTAAAGTCGATGCTATTCAAGATCGGAGATATATGATATATTTATATGATATATTTTCTTCATTCTTTTTTACTTGACCTGTTTCATTTATTACGCTTGCCAATGCGGAACTTAAGCCATTAATAACTTTAATTTTTCATAAGTAATAATTATAAAAGTTATACATTGTGATAATACTGATTGTAACGATTCTAACAAGATCCCACATGAATATGTTTATCGTTGCAATTAATTCACAAAATACGGTCAAAGAAGGGGGGTGTTGAATAGTGTAAAAGTTGAAGCACGTCGAGTAAACAAAAAAAAATGGAAGAAGTATGTAGTGTTAATGAGATTTTTAAACATGTACCATGGGCATACAATTTTATTTGAATCAAAAAGAATCTTATATATAAAATCTATCTACTACTGAGTACATAGTAAATAAAATGAGAATCCTTCTAACTTGATTAATCTAAAGCTATGAAAAATAAGAATTTTCTCTTTAAGTTAACCATTTTATATCCCTTTTTTTATAAGAAAAAAACAATTTCTATTTTACAAGATATTTACAAATTGAACATTAACTCTAATAAACATAGGTTTATATCATCATCTATCATCAATATAATTACGAAGTATAGAGTACTAATAGTGTCAACAATTCAAGAAAGATATGAAATATTGCTCGTAAATACTTATTTGTAGCCTTATCAATTTACTTCGTATGACCGTATCATATACAAGTAATAGTTTATCCAATCTACCAAATTTTTTTTTTTAAAAATAAAATAAAAACCGGATATTGCCAAAAATAAAAAAAGATAAAATCGGATATATTTGGCAACATCAAAATCTGAGAAGAGTATTCTCAACAATTAAGGATTCTTCTTCTCTTTTCTTTTCTTTCCTTTCGTCAGAATGCGAGAGATTTTCCGCGTAAATTGATCAACAAATCCGCCATTGTTGCGCCATTATTTTCTCTCTCCTCTTTCACAACTCTTTTCTTCACTTCTCTGAGTTAACCCTTTTCCTTTTTTAGAGAGAGAAACTAACGAACTCCTAGAATTTAATTTCAAGCGCTCCAAGAGAGAGAGATTCGGCTGAAAATGGAGATGTTACTGTTGCAGAACGATCAACAGCAGTTTCAGCAGCAGAATTTGCAATCACAACAGCATAATTCGCAGCAATTACAGCATAATTCGCAGAATTTGCAAAATTTACAGCAGATTCAGCGACAATTGCAGGTTTCTAGGGTTCCGTTTTCGCTCGATCGTAATGATTCTTTTGTTTTTCATTCTGAGCATCAGCCGCAGCAGCAGCTGCAGTTGCCGTTGTCTTCGACTTCGACGGTTAAGTCTTCGCAGTCGCAGTCGCAGGCTTTGGATCCTCGACAAGGTTTGCTGATTTTTGCGATTAATTTCGACAACAATTTCTTTAATTTTGCATTATTTCCGGTAATTCATATGTTAATTTTACTATTGGATATGTTGAATTGTTGAGTTTTCATTTTTTGCCAGTTGCTAGGGTTTGTGAGGTGATCAGTTATGTTAGGATGTTAATTTGAAAATTTCTGATTAAAAAAACAATATTCCTTGAACTTCTAAGTCAATTAATTTAAAATTTTCCGATTAAAAAACAATATTCTTTGAGCTTCCAAGCCGATTATTTTTCTTGTAGTTTTTTTTTTTTTTTTTTTTTTTTTTTTTTTTTTTTTTTTTTTTTGTCCAACGATGATGAGTAATTGCGGAAAACTTTATGTTTTATAGTCTTACTGGAAATTGAATTAAATTTTAGAGGATTCTGGTAGTTTGTAGCGAATTGTGTATAGTCTTATATGGAGATTTTTTTTAACTTCGGGGTAATTCTGTGCTGGTTAATACTCCGATTATTGATGGCCATAGTATGTGTATTTTGTGGAGGATACTACGAACTGGATATATGCTCAGAATTGTTTACATCTGCGCCTCTTGAATTATATTTTGTGGCGAATGTGCTCCGATTTTTTTGTTCTCCGCTGCAATGATGCATATCTAGACTTTTGCAAAACGTACTTCTTTGTTGCAGTTATTGGGACAGGGCACTGATGATGGTATATGTTTTATGGTCCTCTAAAGAGAAACCTTTTGTTGTATTTCTACAATGTTAACTGTAATTGGCAAAAGATTAAGAAAGGGACAATTGAGCGTCCGTCCATATAAAAAATTTATACATTATGTATTCAGTTTTCACTGTATCACTAATCAACATTAATATGAAAAGAGGAGATGGTAGAAATTGCTTGTTAAAGTCGGGGCCAAAAACTTATCTTTGATATTATCATGTACTTTCCTGTCTTAATTGTTGTACTTCTGGGGTATATTTATATTTGTGTGTTAATTTGGAGTTTTTTTTGTTCAGCTAATGTACATCTTATTGCTATTGCTATATACAAGTAGTATGTTATATTCCATGTGCATAGCAAGTTGTTGTAAATGATGTTTATCTCTCATTTTTGTAGTTGATGACAATTTGTTGCTGACTCTTGCCCATCAAAAGTACAAATCTGGGAACTACAAGCAAGCACTTGACTTCAGCAATAATTTGTTCGAGAGAAACCCTCGCCGTACAGATAATCTTTTGCTATTGGGTGCTATTTATTATCAGGTCTTATGTTGATTTTTTTGGTGGAATATGATTCATTTTGCATGCATTTTTGTTGTGTTTGGATACTTGTAATCTATTAGCTCACCGTTTGTTCCTGTATTTGTTTTAGCTGCATGATTACGATACATGCATCGCAAAAAATGAAGAAGCTCTTCGAATTGATCCTCATTTTGCAGAGTGTTATGGTAACATGGCAAATGCATGGAAGGTACTTTGCAGACCTAATTTATTTGAATATGTTGGCTCTATAATCAGACTTGTGTTGTTTCATGAAAAGTTCAGAAAAATGTATAAACTAAGCTAGTGATAAGTCCTTTTGATCTCTTCTCTACCTGTTTGCAGGAGAAAGGAAATATTGATGTAGCTATCCGCTATTACTTGATTGCAATTGAGGTAACTCTATGAGCCTGAATATGTCAATAGTGTTTACTGATTTTGATTTATGTCACTTTTTGGCTGCCAACTACTTTTGCATACTGTTTTATTTTATCCATCTGCTGTTTTCTTGTAACGGTTTGCAAACCTGAAAATGCTGTGTTCACATCCTTGTCTTATTAGTGTTTTATTGTATTTTGTATGTCACAGCTTCGACCCAATTTTGCTGATGCATGGTCCAATTTAGCCAATGCTTATATGCGGAAAGGACGGGTTACAGAAGCCTCGCAATGCTGCCGACAGGCCCTTGCATTGAATCCTAATCTGGTATTTACTTGGAATTTTGGATCATGTTCATGAATTTATGTGGACTGGATTGCTAGTGGCTTGTTATTGACAGTTTGTCTGTTTTTGAAGGTTGATGCTCGTTGTACGCTGGGTAATTTGATGAAAGCCCAAGGCCTGGTCCAGGAGGTGAGAAAAGTAGCTGAAGCGCTGAGTCTTGACTTGTGTCTTTCATTTCTCACGCGTGAATAAACAGCTCACTATGTCAAAGAGTGTCTCCTTTTATTTTTGTGGATATGGTATCTCTTGCAATAGTCTTTTTGGTAAAATTGATACGTTTTCACTATCTAAATTCTAGTCTCATACCATATGTTAAACTCATTTACGTTGTTTGTTTTTTATTAATTTTTTATTTTTGGTTGGAGGGGGTTTGGGGGGGGGGGGGGGAGTGGGGTGGAGGAATGGCTGTTGGTACATTTTGTATGACTTTACACTTCTACCATCCTTTTTGTCAATTATTGTGCCTCCCAAAATCTTCTTTCCACATTTCAGACTTGTTTAAAATTGATCTTCTCTGCAGGCTTACAATTGTTATGTTGAGGCTCTTCGTGTCCAGCCTAAACTTCCTGTTGCTTGGACTAATCTTGCTGGGCTTTTTACGGAGACAGGAGATTACAATAACGCTGTTCAGTGCTACAAGGTGCTTAGATGGTTTTTGTTCATTCTGTGTGAAGAAAGACAATATATATCTAAATTATACAATTCCTTGTATTATCTACTGCTTAAACTTTTTTTATGACCTTTCTTCTTCATATGTATATCAGGAAGCTATCAAACACAAGCCAACATGTGTAGATGCCTATCTTAATTTAGGAAATGTTTACAAGGTAAGCTGTCCAAGAATATACGCTGTAGTTTTTTTGGAGTAGTTGCACTGCCTTCCCAGAAGGAAAAAAAAAAAAAAGGAAATGATGTTCATGCCATCCATCTAATACTGCATCTGTCCTTGTTACAGACTCTGGGAATGCCCCAAGAAGCTATGTTATGTTACCAACATTCACTGCAGATCCGACCAGACCATGCTATAGCTTATGGTGAGGATACCTATGTTTTACAGATGCGCTTTAAGTTGTAGATGTGACCAAACTGACCATATAGTGATGCAGTTATTATAGCAATAAAACATCTGAATGTGTTTTATATAGCACTTTATTGTTTTATCCGGCTGCTAGTCTGCTACTATATGCTTTTACATCTCCATGTTTCTCTTTCCGTCTTCAAATACTATTAGTGCTACTACATGCTTTTGCATCTCCACGCTTCGCTTTCCATCTCTTTGACAACCTTTCTAATTTGTCTGTGTTTCTTTTGCTTCTACCTATTTTGCTATTGTGTTCTTGTTGAACTTATGTCTATTTTTTAAAGCAGCCTCTGCTAACGTTTGGTTAGGCAAATAATCTTTTAATGTTTAATGCTTAAGAGTAGAGTCAGGGCAAGTTCAACTTATGCTAGACCTTTTGTGGTAGTTGAATACATATGGTGTCTGGTTCTTCGTCATTTTGCCAACGTTAGAATTCATTCTCAAGCCATGGTTGGTGTTGCTGTTTAAAGTTTTATCATATGCTAAGTTATTACTTGATTTTGGCAAGTGTGTGATCGATTAATTTGGAAGAAATAACTTCTCTGATTCTGATGTTATCCTATTGTGGCTCAACTGATCTGTCAAAGATTATTGTTTATTTCCTAAACCTGGTGCTACTTTCTGGTGGACTATAAAGTTTTCTTCAGGGGGATGCCTTTTCGTCCTACTCATCCTTTGCCTGCTACTGCCATTGTAATATTGTATTTCTGTGTAGTCGTGTTGCTCGTTCCTAAACCTGGTGTCACAATTGTTTTTCATTGTTGTTGTGTTACTTTTTTTTTTGGTTGTGTTATATGCTTGTTCTTGAATTCCATATTTGTGTGAGTTATCAATATAAATGCCTAGCTGCGAAACCGGTAAGATATCACATTCTTTCATGTGTTAAGTCCTTAAGAACTTGCTTTATAATGTTTCATTACTTCTGCTCACTAACTTTGATCTTCCCAGGCAATCTTGGTAGTATATATTATGAGCAAGGACAGATGGATATGGCAATTGCTCACTTTGAACGTGCCATTGCTCGTGATCCTGGATTCTTGGAAGCTTACAATAATTTGGTTGGGTTTTATGCTCTGTTCTTTCTCATAGTTTTTGCCCAATTGTTTGCTTGCAGTTTGCTTTGCAAATCCTCAAGTGTCTAATCTTCTTTTCATTGTGATGATCAAGGGTAATGCACTGAAAGATGCTGGCCGAGTTGAGGATGCTGTTCAGTACTATCGTGTATGTGCTAATTACGTGTCCTGTACCTATTGCCTTATGTTTTTCTTTTCTGTTAACGTCTTAACTAATGCATTGATTACTGTATGCAGCAATGTCTCTCACTGCAACCTAGCCATCCACAAGCGCTGACTAATCTTGGTAACATCTATTTGGAGTGGTAAGTTGCTTAAGCTTCCATCTTAGCTACTTGCCTCTCGTGTTGCATTATGGAATTGCTGCTTTAGTTTCTATGAAGTTGATTTCACTGTCTAATATCTAGTTCTTATTACATAAATATTGGGGATATTACAGGAATTTAATTGGTACTGCTGCTCAGTGTTATAAGGCTACCCTTAATGTCACCACAGGATTATCTGCCCCATACAATAACCTTGCAATAATTTATAAGCAGCAGGTATTCTTGTCATTCTGCTTTCTTGAAGGTTTTTCTTTTTAGTTCATGGTGAAATTGTTTGATGCTTAGAGGACATGTATTTTGTTTTTGGTCGTTAAACTATTTTTCATATCTGCTTATTTTTGCACCAGGGTAATTATGCGGATGCTCTGACTTGCTACACAGAAGTTCTTAGGATTGATCCGATGGCAGCTGATGCGCTCCTCAACAGGGGAAATACATATAAGGAAATTGGAAGAGTTAATGAAGCTATCCAGGATTATAAAAGTGCTATTGAGGTTCGCCCTAGTTTGGCAGAGGCTCATGCAAATTTGGCTTCAGCTTATAAAGACAGGTTAAGCATTGTGTTATTTCATCTGCTAGGGATTTTTCTTTTTCTTTTTGTTTGTTTGTTTGTTTGGTTATTTTTTTTTTGTTTTGTTTTGTTTTGCTCATGTTTGTAAACGAGGGCTTTTTTCTATCCACAGTGGCCATGTGGAAGCAGCTATAAAAAGCTATAAGCATGCGTTGTTGTTACGTCCTGACTTCCCAGAGGCAACATGTAATCTCCTTCATACATTACAGGTAAGCTGCTGACACATGGTTTTTCCATAAGTAGGCAATTTGGGTTCCTTTATTCTACAAATCTATATAAAGTCTGCTAGCTTACTGTAATTGTATATTATTGAATTTAGACTTAGATTCCGAGGCTCATTGTAATTTGTATTGTTCAGTCTTGGCTTAGAATCTGAGGCCTTTTGTGTCATGTATGAAAAATGGTCTTTTTTACATGTAATTGCATGTTCTCCATATTCAACTCATCTCTGAAAGGGCATGCCTGTGTGTACATTTTTTACTTGAAACTATGCTGTTCAATTTGCTTGTAACTTTATTTTGTTAACTGCTTATTTTGTGCAGTGTGTATGTGACTGGGAGGGTTTAGATAACAGGCTCATTGAAGTTGAGCGCATACTAAGGCGGCAAATTCAGGTTTTTAATCTTCTATGCATTGCCCTTCTGGATATATCATAGTGGTGCTCTTTATTCTCCATTCATGTCTTTCTAGACTTGAATTTCTATGTGTTAAATGGTTTTTTTAATCTGCTTGTCAGATGTCTGTTGTTCCAAGTGTGCAACCCTTTCATGCCTTTGCTTACCCTCTGGATCCATTGCTCGCACTTGAAATTAGGTGAGTAGCACTTCTGTGGAGATGCTGATGTATTAGTACCCATAGAATTAAATCATTGTTGGTGTTCTAACCTTTTTTTTTCCCCTTTTTTTGTTTGCTGCAGTCGTAAATACGCAGAGCATTGTTCTCTTGTTGCTGCTCGATATTCAATTCCTTCCTTCAGTTATCCTGCTCTGTTGCCTGTAAAGACTGATGAAGGGAGCAGGCGGTTGAGGGTCGGGTATGTTTAAACCCCTTCAACATACTATTAATCTACTTTTAAATTCACTTCTTGTTTGACAGATTATGGTGTGGATTGCAGATATGTCAGTAGTGATTTTGGTAATCATCCCTTGTCACATCTTATGGGTTCTGTCTTTGGTATGCACAACAGAGAAAATGTGGAGGTATACTTTATTTGAGTTGTATTTCATGTCATGTATAAGGATACAATCTTTGCTGTGATTGAAAGTTTGTTGCTATGCTGGCAGGTCTTCTGTTATGCCTTGAGTCCAAGTGACGGTTCTGAGTGGAGGCTGCGCACACAGTCAGAAGCTGAGCACTTTGTTGATGTCTCATCTTTGTCATCTGATGCGATAGCTAAATTAATTAATGCGGACAATATTCAGATCCTTGTTAACCTTAATGGGTATACGAAGGTATGATGCTTTGTTGAATTTGATGCTTATGGATAATGGATTGCTATAGGTTTACTTATTTGTGTGGCTAAAGATAATCTGTTCAGTACTTTTTATGGTTGCTTATATAGGTTGGAACTTTTTTGTCCTTTCTAGTCCTCCTCAATTTGTTCTGTAATTTATTTGTCTTCTGTTATTGACATTTCACTTGGACTGTTTTTTTCCCCTTTGGCCTCACTGCTGCGTATAATTAGGTGCAATATTTGGAAGTTACTGAGTGATTAGTTAAAATTTGGATGTGGTCTTTTGTTAATGGCAGTGGTGGCAGAAATTCACTAAGTCACATGGCTCATGGGGTGATTCCTTTGAGTGGGGACTTGAGGCACTTTTGGTGCTAGGGCTGTAGGGTCTACTCTTGGGCTTTTGTTTACTTTTAAGTTACTTTGATTACAAATAACGAATGTGTGTTAATCACTTTGGCTTTAATTTGATTGATTCTGAATTTTAGGTTCCCTTGGCCAATATAATTTCACTTGCATTTTCAGTGCATAAGTTAGGAATGTTATATGCTTTATACAAGTGGCTCCATCATAAGAGCAAGAGAAATGACCTAGATTCACTTGGGCATGAATTCTTTTGCTTTCCTAGGTGCACATATTTGCTTTAACACTTTATTCTTCAGCTTTGTTATTGGCTATATCTGCTTCATGTCTTCTCAAACTCTGGTCATTGCCAAAATTGAAGTAGGATTAATTATTAATGTGTTTTCATATCCCATACTGCATTTAAATGGTTTTTTACTTTTCTCTATAGAAATAAAGATTGTAAAGAAATTATGTTAGGAAATTGCCTTTAAATGTGTGTTTGTGACTAGATGTTGATATCTGTGACAATGGCATCAACACTTAAGCGTGTTCGTAATAGCAACTGGGAATGTGAGCTTTCGTGTTGTTGGAACTTTGAAGTCACTTTTGAGTTGCGTTGTCATGTTTAGCCCATAACCAGAATATCTGTTATTAACTTGCTTTATAATTTTGCAGGGTGCAAGGAATGAAATATTTGCTATGCAACCTGCTCCTGTACAGGTTTCATACATGGGATTCCCTGGAACCATGGGTGCTTCTTACATACAATATCTGGTGACAGATGAGGTGCGAAGTGAAGTTCTTATCTTTCAATGACTGTTTGAACTAAAATCTTTAATCATAACCAATAAATTTTTTGTTGCAGTTTGTTTCTCCTAGTCATTTGTCACACCTTTACTCGGAGAAGCTAGTTCATGTTCCCAATTGCTACTTTGTTAATGATTATAAACAGGTGTTCTTTTTGACTTATACTTGTAAGCTTCCACTTACTTGCCTTATGGGATTTTTATTAATGTGTGGTGATCAATTTGGTTTCAGAAAAATCGTGACGTATTGGATCCCAGCACCAAACCTAAACGGTCAGATTATGGGCTGCCTGAGGATAAGTTCATCTTTGGATGCTTTAATCAGCTGTACAAGATAGATCGTGACATTTTTGACACTTGGTATATTATGGGTTCTAGTTTGGAGCTTGCAAGTGCACGCTTTTATTTCTCGTGCATTTCAGTTACTGTGACAGTACTTCATGTTCATGATAAGCCAAACTGACATTAAATCAATCTTGTTTCTCCCCCTTCTGCTCAGGTGCAATATTCTTAAGCGTGTTCCAAACAGTGCTCTCTGGCTTCTGAGGTTTCCAGCTGCAGGCGAGACTAGGCTTCGTGCATGTAAGCTCTTGTTTTCTAAAATTTGCTGATTGCCTGATTGTAATTTTCATGTGATTGTTTTAATGCTATCTTGAATTGTAACATCTTCAGACGCTGCTGCAAGGGGTGTGCAACCGGACCAAATAATATTTACTGATGTTGCCATGAAGGGAGAACATATTAGACGCAGTTCTTTGGCAGATCTCTGTCTTGACACGTAAGCACTTGGACTTGAACATTCTATGCCTAAATTATGTTTGTATCTGTGTCTCTAGTTACCTTTTTATTGATTCTTTGACTTCTGTTGAGGTAGGCCATTATGCAATGGGCACACAACTGGCACAGATGTTCTCTGGGCTGGTTTGCCAATGTTGACGCTTCCCTTAGAGAAGATGGCTAGCAGGGTTGCTGGTTCACTGTGTTTGGCGACTGGTGTTGGAGACGAGATGGTGGTTTACAGGTAGCAATTTAGCCAGCTGCGTGCTTGGTACTCCATGGTTCTTTTTCATCCACCAAATGTGTTTCCTCTTTGTCCAATCTGGATTGAGTGGCTTTGGATTGTGTTTAGTATGGATAACTGGTCTGATCTCATGCATTGTGTATGTTGAAGTTGTTTAGTATGTAAGGTTAAAGTTAGAGCATTATCTTGTAGGTGGTTATGATGTAGCATATGATTTTCCTGGATCCTCTGTTGAATCCTCTTGTGGTTATGCCCTTATAATCATCTGGCTGGTTTATTAAGTCACGTGGGTTGTATTGTCAAATTGTATGATGCACCTCTGTTGAATCACACTTCTGTATTGGTGGATAGATTTTAGGCAGTTAATACTTGAAGTCGAATCCACCGTAGCTCCTTTTAGTTGCATTTTTTATGTGTTCGAAGCACATAGTTTATTTGTGCATTGCCCACTTTTTTGTTGTTTGCTTATGTTTTGCTGGTCTTTGTTATGCTTTCATGTGGTATTTTGTGTGCATGAAAAATGCACCATCGCTGATTCCTTTTTTTGTTTGCTGATTGTTGTATATGAAAGCCTGAGAGAATACGAAGAAAAGGCGGTGTCTTTGGCATTAAATAGACCAAAGCTTCAGGATCTTACCAATAGATTGAAGGCTGCTCGCTTGACTTGTCCTCTCTTTGACACTGCTCGCTGGGTGAGTTCATGTCTGCCTTCTTTAATTGATCTGTTACCCTTAGCTCTTGCTAATTAATAAATGAACCTAATATTGTTGCATTGTATATTGCTAATATTTTAAAGGGGATGGGGAACTGGACAAAGCCATTTAAATGTGACAGGATTGGTTAAAGAGCTAGTTATGCATGTTAGTTACTTAACTGAAAAATCATTGTACAGATATCATTCAGGAGATATGATGGCAGTTATTATTCAATACCCTAATTATCTCAAGGGCTAATCATATTATATAATATTTTTTGAATTAAAATTCATTTTTACTACTTGCTTATATATATTGTGTATGGGAAGGCCTTTCTATGCTTTTCTGTATTTATATTTACTTATCATCTACCTTGGTCTTAACCATGCGTTTTTGTTACTTCTCTTTCTAGATATCACCTATGCATTAATATCTCACGAGGTGTACACAACACCTTTTAACCTATTTTAGAAGTTGTAGTGAGCCTATTCATCAAGAATGAATCTTTCTTTTGAATGATAACTCTCCATGAATTCTCTTTATGGGTCATATGATGAACCCACAATATCTCTTACGAATGAAATTTGGCTATATTTTCCGAAAAGCATTTCCAAGTTTAGGTTTCAACTCAAAATCACGATGAGCTATTTTAAGTTTGGCACGCTACTTTTAGCCTGCTTTAAAGAGGCACAGATGTGCATATGATGAAGTTGATGGCTTTCTCATTTGCTTTAGTTGCTATTTTTTCTGTTGTAAACTTTGCAGCTGCTTGCTGATTCTGAGCTCATATTGAATGCAGGTGAGAAACCTTGAGCGAGCCTACTTCAAGATGTGGAATTTATACTGTGCTGGCCAGCATCCTCAGCCATTCAAAGTGACTGAGAATGATTTAGAATACCCTTATGACAGATAGTATGAAATGCAATGCAAGATAACAACATCGTAGATATCCTGAAGAGCATAAGTTAAGGTAGAATGATTTATTATGGAGATTATATTGTGTTATAGGTATTTAAGTGCTGGAGCTGTCAGGCCTTGAAACTCAGGTAATTGTTGCTTTGCACTTACGGGATGATTGGAGAAGGGGGGAAAGATCTGCTTAATTTTTTTTTTTCGGAGTGCATTGCTCCTCTCCATCTCTATTTTTCCACTGATATTTCTTTCTTTGGTCTTTCCTCTTGAGGAACAATAATGGTGTTGTTGTGACATTCAATGAAGAATAACGCTGATGTTGATTCAACAAGGTGGTCTATGCTGACATATATAATATTGAACGGCTAATTCATCATTCAGGTTGAATAGGGTATCAATAAGAAATTAGTTAACATATGCTAATCTTATAGCTGTATGTGATGCCCTCACTGAGATTCGTGGTGATCACCCATGAACTTAATATATTTTCTTGATGCGTGACCGTCGTGCAGCTGCTGTACGCCTGTACGTGGTTGGGTTTAGATGCTGCATATGATGGGTTGATGGAAGTTATGAACTTATAATGTAGTAGGGGGAAGGAGAAGAAAATTTCTGGATGTTGGAAATTTAGGGGTGTGATTTTGCCATTTGAAGGTAAGTACTTGGGTGGCTATGGTTGACCTAGAAAGGCGATAAAATAAGTCTCTGGAAATAGGAAGCTGGGGTGTTAATTTTCGGCAGTCCTAGTGTCTGAATGTTTGAGGGCGGTAGACTCGTAGTTAGAGGCAGAAAGCTTTAGCATTCAGAATGATGTCAACTATGGCAAAGCTGCGCAAAAGGAAGGCAGGTAGTAATTTTATCCATACTAATCCTGGACAGGTAAATGGATTTTCTAAACTCAAAAACGGGATAATATAAACGATAAGTTAAACTATACAATCAAGTTTTGATTGGAAAAAATAAGAGAGTTATTTTTCCTAGGAAATATAGTAAGAGGGGAAGATTTGCACTTGAAAGGGGAGATTCTCACAAATTCAATATTGAAGTATTTACAAGCAAGTACTTACTCGGACTTGTGAAATTATGGTTAAAGATTAGCAACCATTCTTAAACTTTCTATAAGAGACTAACTTGGAACAACTCAAATTTTCTTGCCGAACTTATCAGTGAGTAGAACTTGACATTCGTTTGAAACTTGGTTTACAGGAAAGTTTGAAGATAGATAGTTTTTTTCATTTAAAAGAGCTTGGGGTAAATAATGATATTTTAACGATCCAGCTTTAAGTGATAGACTAACTCATAATCTGTTGTACAAATTATATATTTTTTGGTAAAATAATGCATATACCAGAATTTTTTTGACGGGATAGTACAATTACCGTATTATAAGGACGCAAATTTTCTCCTTCAATGATATTCTTCAAGAGAAAGACCTCGGACCTCAAATATCGTTTTAAGTGCCGGTGGTGCACTGGTGCTCCTAGCCGGTGAGAGATTTACATCGCGATGATATATTTTTTACTCGTTTTCAGCCGTAAACCACTACAACAAAGCTAATATAAAAGTACCGAAAAACCTAAAATGGAAATTAGGGATAATCTGGAAAATTCAAAGTCATTTATTTATTATTGATGGAAGGATGAACAACTTGTTATTGTCAATCACAGAAGTCAGAAGAGCAAATTATCACTAATTAGCATCATCTTTAACCAAAAACAAAAATATTATAAGCTCAGCAGTTTCCTACATTTGATCAGTCGGAACTTCAGAAAATTTGGCCTTGGAGATGGGCCAAAGTTGAGCAATTTTTTGGACTCCTGAACCCAAGGCTTAACCACCACCACCGCATCAAAAGTCCTACTAACACCGCCTTGTACGGCTTCAACCTTAAGGTAGTATTTAATCCCGGAAACCACCTGCCTTTGCGCCTCCACCACCTCCACAAAATCCAACGACTCGTTTGATACGCTTCGAAGCGGGCCTGGCTGCTTGCTTAAGAACTCCCTGTTGTACTCCTCTACTGAAAACTTACCTAGTTCTTGAACTTCCTTATTAGTTTTTACGTCTTTTACTTGTGTTCTTGCTCCTACCATTCTTCCCCTGTGTACTGCATTCACCTTTGTAGTGAAGATGAAGAGTAGTAGTAGAAGAAGAGATAAAATAGTTTGTCTATGCATTTTTAGATTCTTTTTTGGGAAGGGATATGAATTTGTTGAACAAGTGTAAGAGATGGGAGAAAGTGTCAAAATCATTAGAAGTGTAAAAGGGTATAAATAGGTAGAAGAATTTGCGAGAAAGAAAAAGGTGAGAATTTCGAGACGTATAATACGAAAGAGTAGGAGATAGGAAGGAAGGGAAGGTGGAAGCATGAACGGTGTGCCGCGTTTGATATACATGCAAAAAAACAGACATCTATCAGAAAAAACAGCAGTGTGACTATGAGTGGAATTTTGGACTGTAAGGCTAAAGCGGTGAGGGGATAAACTCCAATTTTGGCGTTACCTGATTAAAACTCGAGTCGAATGATACAGAGAAGATTACTCCCATAATACTTACCTAAACCTAAAAGTGGAATGTAGAGAACGGGATTTGGGATGATTAATATAGTAGTAGTCCTAATATAAAATTACTAGATCAAACGTTATACCAAGACATAAATAATTAGGATATGTTTGATGAAGAGTTTATTTGAGATTTATTAGTTTATTTAGCCAACATGAGCTGATCGATCATTATAATTAGCTAATTGAAGTGTTTGGTAGTAAGTTGATTTAAAGAGCTTAATACACTAAATAAGCTCATTTTTAATATTTTATTAGTTGATTTAAGTATTTTACGTAAAATTACAAATATATATCCCATTCAATTCAAAACCCTACCTCAATTAATTATCTACCTCCATTTAATGATTTAATTGGTCATTTTGCATACTAAAATTGCATAAAGCAATTAGTTATTACTCCTACACTTTTATACAATTAACTAGTCAAATAAGTTGATACAATAAATTAGTCAAAACCAATTTAGATTAGATTTAACTTTTCACCAAATACGACTTTAGTCATGCGTAACATAATACGGAGTATTAGTCAATTACAAGTATTGTTACGCAATGCAAGCCTCTAACAGTAGAAAAATTATACTCGTAGTACTAGTAGTAGTACTACTAGTAACACTTTTTGTCGTGGAGTTGAGATGAACCATGCAGTTTGGTTTAAACCTAAAAGCAAGCGTGGCAGCCATGCATGGAAAAACGTGCGCTCTCTCACGTGATTGGAGTAACAGGTGGCGTTTGTAATTGAATTAATCAATCATTTTCTTAGTTTTGGTTTCTTGTATCTTGTACGGTTACGAGTACCATGCTCATCCCATGCCCTATTCCCCGCTTCAAAGTTGCTCAACAGCCTTATCATCCAACTATCCCTCGGGTGTTTAGTTAGGAGCTTTTTGAAACACAGAGAGTTTTTTGACAATTTCAAAAACCTATGTAGATTGGTTAAGAGTTTTTTTTTTTTTTTTTTTTTTTTTTTTTTTTTTTTTTTCATTCATTCATTCAGAAAGCGCCTAATCAAACACCCCAATAACTAAACACCACTTCAATACGAGGAGCTTTTTAAAAGAGCTTTTAACTTTTTAGTTGTTTTATACTAAGACAACTAATAACTAATAAATATTTACCACACCAAACACTTTTGCACAAATAGTTATTACAACAATTTTTTTTTTTTTTTTTTTTTTTTTTGACAATCTATTACAACAAGTTAGTTAAAATAACTATTAAGTAATGCAAATAGATAAAAACTAACAACTGGTCAAGCTGTCAAAGTAGCTAATAGTAACAGCTATAAGCTAATCGTCAGTCAGGGTCCTCTTATTTTTCAAAGGAAGCCTAAAACTTAAGAAGTATGTCTTATACTAACCTTTTGTTATGTTTAAACTAACTTGATTTTAAACAATATGGCTACTTAAATTGGGTTTTTTTGTAAAAATTTATTTAGAAATATGCTTGAAAGACGAATATTACAAGCTACAAATTATGGAGTAAGTTCTGTTAATTGCCCAGAGATGCAATGTTAAAACACTACAAAAGAAACACCTGTACAACCGGTGTTAAAATCCAACTATTTGTCTTCGAACATGTTGTAAGATGTGCCAGACAATACCATTGGTCGACTTTGTATCTCATATTTCATTGATCTTGGTGTTAAGATATATGTGAATATATTTTGTTATTGTATTTTAGTTAAGCATATATTTAGATTGATATGCATATAATCGGTTACCTAAATATATGCCTTGTACTTTGTATATATTGGGAAGTCAGTGAATGAAATCCCTTGAGGAAAATATTTCATCAATTCTATGGTATCAGATTCCTAGGGTTATCTTTACTACTCTTCTTCTTCGATTCTTTTTCCACCTTCCGCAACCCTATTCGGTGGTCTTAACCACTGCTTCTGTTTCATCATCTCTCCACCATGTCGGACAACAAGAGTTCCTTCCATCCAGCTCTTGCGGTTTCGAACATCCGAAACCATATGTCCATTACCCTTGAGATGGAGAACGTCCAATATTCAACGTGGGGGGAGCTTTTCAAAATTACCGCACGTTCTCATAAGGTCCTTCATCACATTATCCTCCGGCCAAAGGCAAAGAGAAGGTACCTTCAACTGAGGATGAAAAAGAATTATGGTCGACCCTTGATGCTACGGTGCTTTCATGGATTTATGCTACTATTTCGAATGACCTTTTGCATACCATTATTGAGCCCGATGCTACGGCTTCGTGACATATTCCAAGATAACAAAAATTCTCGTGTGGTAACCCTTGAAGCCGAGTTCTCCACTACCAAAATGGAGAATTTTCCAAATGCATCGGCTTATTGTCAGCGTCTCAAGTCTCTGGCTGACCAATTGAAGAATGTCGGGGTTCAGTATCGGATAGTCGGCTTGTCACTCAATTAGTTTCGGGAGGCTGGCTTGGCGAAGGGTCAGAATCTGCTATGGTAACCTCTCACACGGATTTTGACGAGTCGAACCCACACCACACCGCGGAAAGCAATCCGGCAACAATGGGGTCCTTTTCCTCCTTGGGCTTGGACGCATGGTTGGGCAACTCCACCTTGTCCTTTTCCAACACAAGGCTGGTCCCAGCAACGTCCTATGGGTCCTAGAGGGCAGCAACCTGCTGTCCTTGGCCCACGACCTCAACATGCCTACTTGGGCTCTACAGTTGGGCAGTCCACTCCATATGCTCCAACAGATATTAAGTCTGCAATGCACACGATGTCCCTAAATCCGCCCGATCTGTCTTGGTACATGGATACCGGAGCCACTTCTCACATGACATCCTCTAATGGTAATTTCTCGTCTTATTTAATTTGAGCAATCATAATAGTGGTATTATTGTTGGTAATGGTCAAATTATTCCAATTCATGGTTATGGTCACACTTCATTGCCATCCCCTAGCCTTCCCTTATCCCTTAAAAATGTCCTTCATGCACCCAAAATTGTTAAAAATCTGATTTCTGTCCGCAAATTTACTACTGATAATTTTGTGACGGTAGAATTTGATCCTTTTGGGTTTCTGTGAAGGATTTTCAGACGAGGGTGCCAATAATAATATGTGAGAGCCGGGGCGACCTTTATCCTCTTACCACTTCTATCAACAATCAAGCTTTTCCGTCATCTTTTGCAGCCATCTCCTCCTCACTTTGGCATGATCGTTTAGGTCATCTGGGTGCTCCTATTTTGGATGTTCTTAGACGTAATAAGAGCATTGATTGTAATAAACTCCCTAGTTCTAACATTTGTCGATTTTGTGTTTTTGGGAAACATGTTAAGTTGCCGTTTGTTCCTTCTAGTTCGAGTACTTCTTTGCCATTTGATATTATTCATAGTGATCTTTGGACATCTCTCGTATTGAGCTCCATGGGGCATAAATATTATGTTTTGTTATTGGATGATTATTCTAATTTCCTATGGACTTTTCCATTAGCTAGGAAGTCAGATGTGTTTGATAAATTTTTAGAGTTCAAAGCTCATATCCTTAACCAATTTGAGCGTAATATTAAAAATGTCCAATGTGATAATGGGAGGGAATTTGACAATGGTCCGTTTTGGGAATTTTGTAAGAAAAATGGCATGTCCTTCCGTCTTTCTTGCCCTCATACCTCTTCTCAAAATGGAAAAGCTGAAAGAAAAATTCGAACTATAAATAATGTCACTCGAACTTTATTAGCACATGCCACTTTTCCACCTTCTTTTTGGCATCATGCGTTACAAATGGCTACTTATCTTCTTAATGTGATTCCTAGCAAGTTATTAGGAAACCTCTCCCCTCTTCAAATTCTATATCAACGGGTTCCCTCTTATGCTCACATCCGGGTTTTTGGTTGCTTGTGTTATCCTTTAATTCCTTCTACTACAATCCACAAATTGCAACTCGATCAACACCTTGTGTATTTTTGGGTTATCCTACTAATCACCGTGGTTACAAATGTTATGATTTATCATCAAACAAAATTATAATTTGTCACCATGTGATATTTGATGAGCATGTGTTTCCTTTTTCACAAATGCATTCCCCATCCCAGTCCTCTTATGATTTCTTATGTGATGATTTGTCTCCTTATACATTACATCATTTACAAAATCATGTTGCTTCTAATTCGTCCCAGCAACAATCATGCAAGCACCACATTCTCCATCATCTACTGTTGGCTCATTTCCCACGCATAAGAGCCCAACATCCTCTCCTATTCCAATCCCAGCCCACACGAGTCCAAGTCATAGTGCTCCCTCTACTGGCCTAGCTCTTACCTCACCACCTAGTCTAAGCCCATCTCCACCCTCTAGCCCAACACCAGCAACCCAGACTCTAGCACCTACTCCTCTCATCTCCAAACAGCCCACTATGGTCACAAGAAGCCAACGGGGTATTTTTAAACCCAACAGAAAATATGACCATGCATATGCTACTAAGGTTACACGGTCACCACTACCTCGTAACCCAGTAGAAGCTCTTCGTGACACGAATTAGAAATTGGCCGTGGATGATGAATATGATGCTCTTATTAAAAATAAGACATGGGAGTTGGTGCCCCGTCCACCTAATGTGAATGTTATTCGTTTTATGTGGGTTTTTGCTCATAAAGAAAAATCTAACGGTGTTTATGAGGCATAAAGCCCGTCTTGTAGGTGATGGGAAAACTCAACAGGTTGGCATTGATTGTGGTGAAACTTTTAGTCCGGTGGTGAAACCGGCTACCATTCGCACAGTCCTTTCTCTCTCTTTATCAAAGGCATGGCCCATTCATCAATTGGATGTGAAAAATGCTTTTCTTCATGGTGTGCTACAGGAAACAGAGTATATGCATCAGCCCTTGGGGTATCGGGATCGTACTCATCCAGATTATGTATGCCTGTTGCGTAAGTCTTTGTATGGGCTCAAGCAGGCACCCCGGGCTTGGTATAGGAGATTTGCAGATTATGTCATTTCCCTTGGGTTCTCAAATAGCAAATGTGATAATTCTTTATTTATCTATTGCAAGGGTCGTGACATGGCTTATCTTTTGCTCTATG